TAAAGCCGATGTGGAACTTTACTGGCTTGGCGAAAAGAAGAAGTGGAAGGGGACACTGTCTCTGATCTGCAACAGACGGTCTCAAGTCTAAAAGCAAAATACTCGAAATCATGTTTGGGAGCTTCAGGACCACAAATCTTGTCCTATTTATCTCCATAAATAAAGGAATGAGGTAAGAAAGAGAGAAGTAATGCAAAGAAGAGTGAAAAACAGAGAGCTTTTGTCCATCACGTTAAATCTTGTTTGTTCCAAATTAAACGCGCTTATTTTATTAATTAATTATGGAGTCCTAATCTTTATGCGAGAGGTTGCGGTTCATGTATATATGTGTACGTTTGTAATTAAAGCCTAATAACTTATTAAGAAAATCGGATTATAAAAGAAATTTAAACTAATCAAAAATGCAAGTAAAGAACGAGAAAGCTAAAACCAATTTTGAGATTTAAAGTCTAGAATTTGAAGTACCATAATCCATAAACAACAAAAACACAAGTTCCATAATCCATAAACAATAAAAAAAAAAACAAAGTTCAACCGAAACCGTGCTTACCTCATTCGAAGCCAGAAGACGACGACACACCAAGAGGAGCTGCAGACGAGGACGAGGGAGCTGCAGCTGTGACGTGCATGGCGGGATTTGTCACCGTCTAATTCGCTGCATGTGTCGGATTCGCTTGAACGTGAGGATTTGGATGAAAGTACGGCCCCACCGGATTCGCTTGAACGTGAGGATTTGGATGAAAGTACGGCCCCCACCGGATTCGTCCACCGGATTCGCTTGAAAGTGAGGAAAGTAAGTGGCTGGCGGATATAGTATGGGAGAGTTCATCAGGAAGAACCACGGTGGCGGCACACATGTGATAGCATACTGGAGGAACGCACAACGATAAATTGTTGCTCTGGCCGTTTCGATTTCTCCAAGGAGGTGAGTGATCAGTCTTGGGCTTGAGTACATGGCGTCGTCTCGGCGGGCATCGAACAGTAAGGTAACCATCGCAGTTTGACGTTGGTTTTGCTAACGGAAAACTCCTCACAAGGTGGGGAGGGAAGAAACTGTACAGCATCTCATATTTCTTCTTCTTCTGGCTTACCAACAACAATGACAAAAAAAGAGAAATCAGTGAATGACAACGAATAGAAAGAGAGAGTAGGGAGAATTGTTGGAAAGTAGGGCGCATAAATGCAATCTCCGAAGCATATTTGATGCATATGTGCACAAGCACTGCACATAGTTATTTCTTCTTCTTTTCTATTACATTTAGACAACAATGGCGGAAAAGAGAAATCAAATAGAGATTTTAAAAAACAAATTTTGACTAATTACTAAAATTAAAATTAGATGGTAATTAAGGTTAATAAAATATATGCAGGATAAGTTTCTAGACGGTTTTTACTTTTGTATAATTAATATTTATATATACATGTATATTTATGAAAAAATCAATGTATGACTTTTATGTATTAAATGAAAATATATATTTATATTATATGGATGATTTTTTTCATGTTGAGATCCTTTTTGATCGTTACAAACTTAAAACTAGTTACAAACTTGAAAGGAATGTCCTGCATCTTACGTCCCTTGCTGTTTCTTCTTGCGTCCCGTGAGTTGTTTCTTCTTGCCTCCCCTGTGATGTTTCTTCCCAAAATATGTTGCTACGTCATCTATGGGCACCACAGAGATAAGCTCGAAGTCGTTGACCCTTTTAGATCGTACGATTGAGACGAGCTCTTTCTAAAGGAGATGAAAGGATTATTTTTATATTTATATAATTAATCGTTACTTTTGTCTTTGTCCTTTGAAATGGGATTACGAATTCCTGTTGTGTGACACACCATTATTTCTAGTTCAAACACAAAAAGTCTTTTTAACTTTCTTCAACCACAAGTCTTTTTAACGATCATTCACATCACTAATGGCGGACTCAGCTTTCTTCAGCCACAAGCAATGCTGTATAACACAACCCTATCTCGTATCCTATCCAACGGACACAAATCTCCATCGCTTCTTTAACAAAACCCATCAAAAATTTCTTCTTCCCTTGTTTCTTCAACGATTCCTCCATCTTTCTTCTCTCTTCACTCATAAGCTTCATCTATTTTAACCTCCCAAAGATTCTCTATACATCTCTGAGCCTCCTCCTAGCTATATATTCATCTTCAAGCCACTATATACTCTATCTTGTCCTCACGATTTCTTCTTCGAACAAAGAAACCGCTTCAAAGCTCTTCTCGTGGCTAGCTAAGTTACCAAGTGCTCGAGCTGCGGCTCTCTGCTCAACCCAACTGATTTTCCCTCTAAGAAGCTCCAGCAAAAGAGGAACAACAAAACTCTTTGAATCAACCGCTCTTGCAGCCAAGTCTTCATTGTTCATAACATATGATCCGATGATATGAGCTGCGTAATAAGTAATGAATACGTTCTGGTCTTTGAGAAGCCAAGATCTGTTTTCGATTGATTTATGTATGAGTTTTGACATATATACACTCGAACAAACCGAGTGATGGGAACACAGGATCGTCAGGCTCGGACATGACCACTCAAGACCAAGACATAGTCTTTTGACTCCTCACTACGGATCTCTTTGAAAACTGAGGCGAGTTTTGATCTTGGACGAAAAGGGTTCGTCTCTTTCATGCTGCAGAAGAGACAGGATGGATTTGTGCACTGTGGTTCATCGGAATTGAGCATTTTCTTCTTCTTTTTCTTTGATCTGCCTTCTGGTTTCTTCAAGGAGAAAACTAAGAAATCTTGAAAGAGAAGAAGACACTAATTATGCTTTAGGCCAAAAGACCAAGTAATTCTCTCTTTTGGATGAATTAGTTAGTATTTGATTTCAACTCTAAAGAAAACGAATACTAATAGATATTCGCCGGAGTTGAATGTTTATGGCGACTCCCTCTTTTTATCCTTTATCTTCCCACTTCAAGTTCCAAGATTAATAGTTTATAAACAAAATGAATTAGAACAACACCAAGATTTGTGTTCGCACAAACACCAAGATATGTGATATAGATAATAATTAACCGTAATAGTGGTTTTGACATCTTGATGTGATCAATTTTAGTCTAAATCTAATAAATCATTTCATGACGTTCTCATGTAGATGCACTAGAATCATATAATAAACTTGATCCAAACACACAACTTCATAATCTACAGGTTCAGTCAAACCACACAAAAATAAAAGCTTTTAAGATTATTTCTTAATTTAAATCCAGAGCGAGGTACAAAATTGACAAGATGAATGATCCATGTTTCGTAAACCCATCACAATTATATAAGTAACAAACAATATCAAATCCAAGTGAAACTATGGTATATATGAGTTATGAAACTACTAAACTTTCTTTGGATATCAAACAAAGTTGATGTTAAGATATTTGAGACTTTTCAAGATAAGAACAGAAAGCTTAAGAATTTTCATCTAATTTAAGTCCGAGTACTAAATTGTGAATGAATCATCTTCGAGGGAGGGGGCTCTTCTAATTTTCATCTAATATGTGCTTAGATCGCGTGCTGGAGTCCTTCGCGCGCTGGTGGTCGCTACCCCGTGCTGGAGTGGGTGTTTCGCCGAAGATTAGGCGCTTGGCTCCGGATGCGGTGATGCCTGAGGATATGTGGATGGCTCTGGGAGTGCCGGTCTCGGTGTCTTCGTCTGGTAGAGACTCGGGTCGGGGCTCTCGTAGTGTCTCCAGGTACGCGACCTGCTGAGCTTTGAGAGCCCCAATCTGGTCGTTCAGCTTGTTGTCCATCTGTGCCATGAACGATGGCGGTAATGTCTGTTGGCGCCGGTGGAGGCGGAGGGGGCGGGAGTGTGTCTGTTATGTTGAGGGAGCTCCGGGCTGACGGGAGGTCGGTCTCGTCGGTCGTCCCGTGCTGTTGGACGTTTGAACTGCCACCGGGCTCCAAAGGGGTAGAGCCCAGTCCAGTTGGCGGTATTCTGGAGTTGTTCCCGACCTGACTTTGGGCGGGTGGTTGGATGATCGTATCGTTGGTGGTATTGTCGGTGGATCGCTTCGAATTCCGGCGTGAGTAGACGAACTTGTATCTTTTTATCTCACAGACAGCGCCAATTGTAAGATCTGAATATCTCCTCTAAAGAAAATATAAAGATTTGTAGGGGAAAAGATAAAGTTGTTTTTATTATTAGCCGGAGCTCGAAGTGTACAAGAGATTTTAGGTCGTCGGAAAAGAACGCCGACCTAAGTTTAGTGAATAAAGAACCGAGATCTAGAACTGGAAGCAGTAAGCTATTATTTGCCATAGGTCTCAAGTCCGAAGTTGTGAATGAATCATCTTCGAGGGAGGGGGCTCTTCTTATATAGCCTCCGTAGACCACCTTGAGAATAATCCTTCTCCTTCGGGATTATGATAGTTTCCTTTCTTCTCGGGATTTTCTTTTCTTTTCTTCTGCGATACGAATATACCTTCGAATATTTCCATATTTAGGTGCCGATCTAAACTCGGAAGTGGAGGTAGGGCTTCAAATGAGCTTCAAATGGGCCTTGTCTCAATTTATGAAGGACTTTCAGCAAGGGATGATAAACCCATTACTAACAGATACTTACAGATTTATATGTCTTGCATTCATACACAAGATTTTATAGTTAAACTGTACTCTCTGTACAAGTTTCTTAAACTTAAAGTGTATTATGTTTTCATTACTATCAAAATCCATTGTCGTCCAGCGATTAGGATAAATTAATAAATTTTGCCAATCTCAAATTGACCAGGGTAAAAATTAGCAAATTTGTAGCCTTCTCTCTTCTTCCTTAAATATCATGTCATAAAATTTGTATAAAATGTGCCAATAGTGTGAATAAACAAAGAGAAATACAGTATAATATTAATATATTACACATTACAGATACAGTATATGTATGTGAATCCAAAGTTTGTAGAAGAAGAAAAAAAAAACAAAGGATCCAAAAATGAAGGATGGGAGAGGAGAGGAGCTAAGACAAGACTCCAATGGTGTCTGAACAGAAGAGACGTCTCAGAGAGCGTAAACTATCTCTCCGCTACTGTCAACATCAATCTCAGATTCGGAATCAAAGTCATCCATGTCATCGTCTAGGTCAAGATTATCCGTCATGAAATCATCAAGGCAGCGGTTTCGAACAGCAGGAATCGTAGCCTCTGATATAATCTGCATTATAGTGTCAAGGCTCTGCATCGGCTGCTCGGGCTCTTGAAACTGACTTCCCATTCTGTTCTCATCCATCAAATCCCCAGGAAGATTCTTCAAGAACCATTCATGCGATTTTATCTCCGGAATACTGATCCTCTGTGCCACAGTTAGATCATCTCTCGAACTCTCAATCGTCTCTATTCATAACTCAAAATGCTTTAAAAGAACAGAGTTTGTAGAACTTACAGTTGCAGGATCAGCCACGAAGATCCTCGATATTAGATGGCGACACTCTGGTGAAAGGTGCAAGTCCTCAGGGATTGAGTATGTGACACTAAGGATTCTCTGTGCGTGTAAAAGCAAAACTCAAACAGTCAGTGATAATTAGTGAAGTTAAGGTGAAATGAGATATCAAGAACGTTACTTGGATTGTCTTTCGATAATCTCTTGGCTCGTCTGGATCCTCAAATGGATATGCTCCAACCAACATTACATATAAGGTCACGCCGCATGACCATACATCTGCAATCTGTAGCACCCGCGTAACTCAGAGGACAGATCATAACACATTCGTGGTATTAACAATCATGGAATAAGCTTTGCTTTGCTCTCAAGTTATAGAGGAATGGGTCTCATGGCCATTACCTTGCCATCATATTCCTGTCGAAGAAGAATCTCTGGCGCAATGTACGCAGGAGTACCAACAGTTGACTTGGGTTGCGAGTGAAGAACAGAAGACTGAAGAAAAGAGACGCAAAGTCAGGACTTTAGCACAACCAATATCATTTCAATGATAACCAGTACGAAAACAACACAAGGAGGAACCGCAAGACGTTCTTGCTCAGGGCCATATATAAAGTTTGTCAGATATATAAACTAAGGAATTGAGAGAACAAACCTTGAGAGAAACAGTACCTTGGAATATCCAAAATCACATATCTTCAAACGAGGCGCAGGACTTCCATCCAACAACGTATTCTCCAGCTTCAGGTCCCGATGGCATATTTGCTTCAAAAACACAGAGTCAGAATCACTGAAACTCTCATAAAGAAACAAACGTAAACAAGAACACTGCTCTGCATACCATTGCGTGACAATAATTAACTCCAGAGATAAGCTGCTGAAAGAAGAACCGAGCCTGTGCATACAAAATAAATAAACAAAACTCAAAGATCAATCTGTAGCACATGTATACTGCAAACGTAGATAATCAGAATGCATACCTCGTCCTCACTAAACCTTCCTGCATTGCAAATCCGCTCATAGAGCTCTCCACCAGAAGCATATTCCATTACAATAGCCAGATGGCTAGGCGTCAAAATCACCTGTAACATTTATCAGAAACGGCGAAATCTCTGAACCAAAGAGAGGTATGTGCACAAACACCAGAGGGAGTTACGAAGGTGTTAAAAAATTTTACCTCTTTGAACCTGACAATATTAGGATGCCTCAACGACCTGTGGTTGATGATCTCCCTTTGAACATTTTCATCAATCTGTAGCACAAAGTTATCATCACAAAAGGATTAAATTTTGCAAAACAGAAGAACCAAATCCAATCAATCTCTTCTTCTAGCTTCACTTGGTTTTAAATACGTCACAGCTTAGAAAGCATTCAATGAAGCCGTTGAACGAATATGGAAATGTCAAATCTTTAACTTCAAATTCACAACTTTGTAAAGGCAATTAACGTTACATCAAAGCCATTAATCATCTTAACACCATTAAGTGTGAATTGATTTTTCCCGCGAGAAATCTAAACGATGGATAAAAGGAAGCTACTAAATCTGGAAACTAAACCGAAATCGTACGGATCATCACTAGCCTATACTGTATATATATAATTCTATTTCCATTCAAAAAAGAAAAAGAAAAAAGTGAAACTTCCGTCAAGTAAAGGAGTGAAGAATCCGATCATAAACAAAAAGCAGTAAACCTTGTCTCCTCTCTCGATGTACTTAACAGCAACAAGCTCCTTCGTAAACTTATCCGTCATGAGACGAGCAACTCCGAAATTACCCGACCCAATATCCTTGACGAAGTCGTAACGATCGCTGTCGTGCATAATCGGTAAATCAATCGGCGAAATCGCCGTCACCGCCATCGGATCCATCTCCAGTTTCTCCCTCCTTTTTTACCTCTCGATCAATCACATCAGATAGCTAAAAATTCCGATACCGGAAGTTCCAAGCCCGAATCAATTTAAGAGAAGAAGAATAAGAAGAATTTCAGTAGGTGGAATCTAGAAGGAAAGAAGAAGAAGAAGCTTCGAGTGGAATTTTGCAAACGAGAAAATATCTGCGAAGGTGAAAGATTTGGGGGAAATGATCCAACAAACGAAAGAGAAAGACAAAGGACAATTATTTTAGTCGCTCTCCAAAACAGATAAGAAAGAAAGAACTCTCAAACGACGTCGTTGCGTTGAGTTTTTTTTCTGCTTCGATACGACAAAATCCGCCGCGTTTTGATGATTTAGTCACTATACGTAGGGGTGGGCACAATTCCCGTCCCATCCCGTCTCATCCCATCCCGTTCCAATCCCAATCCCAAATTCCCGTACCATATGGGAATATGCTTCCCATATAGTATAACATATTGATTCTTATATGGGAATGGGATGGGACAGGACGGGAACGAGAATTCCCGAAGTTTCATTTGTCCCGAATTATATATAAATAATAAATTAGATATTTAAAATATATTACTAAAAATGATCATTATTATTTATTAATATATTATTTTATATAAATGAAAATTAAAACTTAAAAGTTGCACCTCTAAAATTCTAACTTATAAGTTATAGTCTAAATGCATGCTGACTGCTGAGATTTGAACGGATTATATTAATTTTTATTTTTTTTTATTTTATTCTATATGACTAATAGACTATATGTGATTTTTTTGTTTACTATTCAATGGATTATGTTGGTTTTTTAAAAAAAAATTGAAGCTTTTAAATTTTAATAATTAAGTTAAGTTTGATTTCATTTGTTTCTTGGTTAATTTATAATCTTATATGACATATTATTATTACGTATTAGGATTTAAGAAATGAACAATGGACGAATATAAATTGAATTTTAATTTTTTTTTACAATTGTCAATTTATCATATTATTAAGGTTTTTGAGAATTTTCATCCCATTCCCGTCATTTCCCGTCTCATTCCCGTCCCGTCCCAAATTTTGAATGGAACACATATAAAGCAATTATTTTGATTCTCATATTCCCATCCCATTCCCGTTCCCGTAAAATCCCGTCCCATATTCCTCTTTGCCCAACTCCTAACTATACGTCTTTGTCGTCTAAAAATAATTTGCATTTTTTGTTTATTCATTTTACAAACGAAAAAACGGATAAACTTATTTTTCCCAAAAAAAATTGACTTTGTGAAAGCAGAATCCGTTTTTTTTTCTAGTAAAGCTTATATTTTTTGAGGAATAAAAGAGAAGTCTATACATTTAATACAGATTAAATGACATTGATTAGATTTGAGGAACAAAGTAAAATTCTACAAATTATTTGTGTAAATGATCCCATTTCGAATCTACTACACATATTTAAACTAATCCTATTACACCACATTTGATCATTTATTCTGTTTGCCTATGAAACAATTGGTTAAATCAAGAATCATCACTTTAAGGTGAACCGGATCTCACGATCTTTGTTCTGTTTTCTTGATCTCCATTGAAGGTGAATATCAAACTTCGGTTTAGATCCATCACTCGAACATTCATCAACTTCCTCTGAAGATGGGCCTAATGATTCAACTATATTTTGATCAGTACTTTCTGATATGCTGTGTTTCTTCTTGAAACAAGGACAATCTGATGGTTGACGCGTGATTTCGTCAAGTTTAGTGTTCATTTCAGACATCTTGGCCATGAGTTCTTTGATATCTAGCCATTGATTCACCTGAACATCCACATCTACCATCCATCTTAATGAAGCTTCTAACTCTTTGATTCTTCTCTTGTACCTATAAAGATCAACAAACAAATATGAAACACATGTCTCAAGAAATGATAGTTTTTTTTTGTTGTTTTTAGATTTAATGTTGGGAGATTAGGGAATGAGTCAAAACTAGAATTTGTATTCGGAAATCTCTTACAATATTATGTCATAGAAAATTGAAAATTGAATCAAAAACAAAACCCCTAATAATTGTCAATCTACATTTCATAAACAAAAAATATTGAATGAAAAATGTTAGAAATCTCACATCAAAAATATGGGTCATTCTATTTATTGTCAATTAGATTTTAGTTGGATATATCATAAATTTAACAAAAAACCAATTAACCAATATCTCTAATTAAATATATAATCAACTAACAATCACCAAATTAATCATGTACATCATGATGATCAATCTAAGTTTCTAATGGTATCCATTTTTGTATATGTGAAATCTCAAATAGTAACAAAAAAGAAGACATTTTTCTAAACTATATACTGAAATTAAGAACTAAGGCGACTTCTTGTATTATAAATTAACAGCATTTGCATACAAACCTATATTTCTGGAGTAAGTTTCTGCGTCTGAGCTCCGCATAAGCCTCGACAAGAGAAACAGCCTTTTCAAGGAGATGCTTAAGATCTTCGATGACTTTCCTCGGAGAATCTTCCACTTCTTCACTGAGCTTATCGACTTGAGCCACCAAAGGAGTGATCCTAAAGATTGTCGCGTCGAGACGGTCCAAGATGCATCTCGTGGTTAAAGATCTATCTTTTGCTCTTTTGATGGCGTCGTGAAGGACTTGGAGAGCAAGTCCAAGAGCAGCTCCTGCCATCATCTCACTAACCGGCATTTTTCTTGAGATTAGATTTCTCTCTCTCGAGGTGTATGTATGAAGAAAACTATCTACATGGAACTATGTGAAAGAGTCTTTTAACAAAATAAGTTGTTTTGGCATTGAATAGCTGTGTGAAGAAGACATTGACTTAGACTTAGTATCGGTCAACACTCTTTCTTTCTACGTAAAAAGAGAGGGTTGGATCTATATGCAAGTTGTTGTGATAATTAAATTGGGAAGAAGAAGAGAGAATCAATATCAATAATTGACTTTGTAAACTAGTTGCGCTAAAATATACAAATGTACGTAGCTTAATTTAATTTGTATAAATTTTGTCTTTATACAAAATAAACTTTTTTTTTTTTGAATTATCAAGAGGTTCTAAGCCTAAGCCCGTAATCACTTGAGACCCGAAACCACAGCATGTATATAAAACAAATTTAATACATATGTAATTCTGGCTTTATCACAAATACGATCAACGGAAAGAAAAATGAATAAAGGTTGAATTAAAAAAAAAAGTGCGATTCAACGTAATAGTAGCATTAGAAATGAAGATACTAATTTCATGAAACTAATTCAAAACAAATCGGAATTCACGATTTTTGTCATGTTTTTTTCTCTTCCATTGAAGGTGAATATCTATTTTCGGTTTCGAAACTTCATTTGAGCATCCATCATCTTTAGTCTCCGAATATTGATCTTCTGCTTCGACGACTATGTTCTGCTTGTTATCGTTTTTAACAGATGTAACATGATCTGTTTGTTGAAACGTGATTTCGTCAAGCTTGGTGTTCATAACGGACATTTTGGCCATGAGTTCTTGAATATCTAGCCATTGATTGACTTGAACATCCACATCCACCATCCATCTCAACGAAGCTTCTAACTCTTTGATTCTTCTGTTGTAGCTAAAAAAAAACATTGCACTTTGACATGTTATAATTACGTCAAACAAAAAATGACAGCTTATATATATATATATATGTGCTGAGAGATAACTAGAAGTTGTCTTGGGACTAAAATATATATAACTTTAACTATTTACTTTCATGTTATATATATATATGTTCAAAAAGAGCTTCACAAACCTAAATTTCTTAAGTAAGTTTCTACGTTTGAGCTCCGCATAAGCTTCGACAAGAACTACGGCTTGCTGAAGAAGACGTTTGAGATCTTCGGTTACTCTCCTCAGAGATTCATCGGCTTCTTCGCTGAGCTTCTCGACCTTAACGATCAATGGAGTGATCCTATATACTGTATCATCAAGACGGCCCAAGATGAATCTTGTGGTTGTGGATCTATCTTTTGCTCTTTGAATGGCCTGGTGAAGGATTTGGATAACAAGTCCAAGAGCAGCCCCTACGATAACCTCACCAAGAGGCATTTTCTAAAGATTCTTTATAAGGCTTGATTAATTCACAAGGAGATTCGTCGCCTTTTAGCTTTATCTCTCGACATATATATATATATATATAAGGTTAGTATATGAATGACTTTATATGGAATTTGTCTTTGGACAAAATCACATATTTGGATTGATTTTTTCTAACTTGCTGTGATCATGGAATTAAAGAAAAGAAGCGTAGGGAAACCATTCTCAATAACGATTATTTTTTTCAAGTTCTTTTCTGGTAAAGAAGCTTGTTTTTTTTTTTCCCAACTTTGATGTGATTATGGAATTAAAGAAAAGAGCAGGCCGAGAACTAGTAATTCTTTTCTTTTTCAAGTTACTTATTGAGCACTATATCATTTTTTTTAAGAGACAATTCAAGGAAAAACATAATAATGGCTTCGCCCGTATTTTGAAGTGCAAGTAGACGTAGTACTAAATCATTGAGTTGACTTGGAGCATTTCCAACGGTAAATATCTTGAAAACATATTTTATCGATATTTTATTAATATAATTTTTAAAGTAAACATATATTTAGATATGTTTTTTAATAAACTCTCAAATAAAAGACTTTTCTCTTTCTTTCATCTTCTTTTCTATTACTTTTTATATTTTTAACCTTGAGATACTTTTTTAAAAGATTTTGATAGATATGTTTTTCGTAGTCCATTTTCAATTTTCTATTTTTCACTATAATTTTTTTGTTAAAGTTATTTTTACAAAATTTGAAATAATAAGATAGGTAGGAAAATATTTCAATGACTTTATCGTGAAGTATTATGGTGATAATCATATCAAATATTATTTCGACCAAAAAATCATATCAAATATTATGGTGATTATTTGACCACGTTTTTAATAAAAGATATGAAATAATGATTGTGATTGTTTTTCTACGGTAATAGTAATTTTTATTTTGTCCCTACAAATTATAGTGTGAAATATGTTCTTTTCGTTGACAAAAAATATATATCAGTTATTATATTTGGTTTTAAGTAACATTAAACAAAAACCTCTTGTCGTCAACAACTTGTATATTTTGTATGTGATAGAATATCAAAAAAACATTAAACAAAACATCTTGCTGGGTCACCGCCAGAATTTTATATTTATGAAATCAAAAGTTATAAATTTAATTATATATAGTTATTAATTCAAACAATTCATCGAAAAAAAAATAAAAAAAAAAATAATTAAAAAACTTGTGAGACTGTCTAAAGACGTGTAGAGATGTCTAGAAGTGTCTAGAACCGTCTAGTTGCACTTAACAACAATAACGCCTTTAGTCGTTGTTATGCTAAGTTTTTACTGCAACTTAAACTAAGAAGGTTACAATTTGGTTCAGACATTTTACATACCATTATGTTTCATAGGGTGCTTGATCTTCTTCGTTCCAAAGATATCCGATTTGGATCCTTTCTGAGATCACCTATGGGTTTTTTCCATAATGCATTGTGTTTTAAATTTAATTTACAACTTGCAAAATTCATTTCCTAATTAATGGCTATATGGCCTATGGTTTGATCAAGCTAGGATTGAGCTAGTATTGATTCATTGTGCTTGTTGTTGTCAATGACAGATATGTATCGTTCTTTCATGTGATAAAAAGCAAAGCAACCATCATACTAATATATCTACAAAATTCCAAATTGGGAAAGTCCCACCATTCTAAAGTAGGTAGAGACCCTTGAGGTAAACATGTGGTATTCATTGTGGAAAGTCATTTCATCTTTTTTTTTTTCCTCCAGAAATTTGCACCAGTCTCATCTGGCTCTATTAATGACTGTAGAAGCATCTGATCAGGAGATAAGTGACTCTACTAGTAGTAGGACCTTGCTTGAACAATCCTATCAATGTCAAAAATCTTTGTTCATTTTCCATTTCTTTTCACCACAAGAGCTTAACTTAACAATAAAATGGCTTTCATTGCACAATATATTAGCGGTTTAATTCCTCTTGCCAAACATTGTTATTTTACTTTGCTTCTTCCTCTAAAAAGTCTTCTTATGGGGTCATCGATAGATATATTGTCTTTTTATATGTGGGACATGTTACTGTGAATAGGTATATTTATTTGTGTTGTCTCTTTCAGTCCTTTGTTTTCCCATCTCTCTCTCTTTTCTTGTTAAGTGCTCTCACGCTTTTTAGACCATTTCCGAAATTGGGTTTTTATTTATGCTTTCTGCAAAGAATGATTGCTTTTTTACTTCTTGCGGTAATTATCTTTTGAGAGTTTTGATTTGACTCAGAAGTTTGTACTTGGATTGTTGGATTTCCTTCCAATTTTGAGATATTTGTTGCAAGACATGTGTTATGTACTTTCAATCTATCATATAAAATACATTGTTTAAATTGATATATATACATTGACAACTCATGCACAATAGATAGAGGTCCTTTAGATAGATGATCATATTGAGTGATTTGATTTGGTAGATAACCATAAACCATATTTTTAATTTTATTTGCCAAATTTTTTTCACGATTATCCTAAATTAAACATACTAAAAAAGTAAGATTTTATAAAAACTATAGGATTTTGTAAAAATGGGTGTGATCATTCTCTATATGTAAATAGTCTATTTCTAATTTTATAACTCAGTATATAGTATTATATTTCCGGATTTTTTTTTTGTTGATAAATGTATCTAGATTCGGAATTTACATGTTGTCAAAATACTGTATGATGATATACATTGATAAAATAAGATATGTGTATGAAAAGTGGAAACTCGAGTCATACGGTATGACTCATACCTACTGTTAAAGAAAAATCTAAACTATATCCGATCAAAGATTTCTTTTATAGTCATAACTAAAATCAACATACAAATGCAATACAACTGTAAATATAAAATCAGGATCTCACACTAATTTTTTCCTAAATTTCTCAGATTGTTTAGACAACCAAAATTGACTCGGAAAAGTTGTAATGGCCTTAATAGCCTACTCTACTCTAGTGTCATTATTTAATATTTATTATTGTCAAATCTGACACTGACAAGATTTTAAGAGCGAGACACAGAAAAAGTTGAACAGTTACAAATTTGCCATAATCATTTCATAATGCCTTGCATTTTGTGTATTCTCCACGTGCTTATCTTTAACCACCCAAAGCATTTCTCTTTTCAACAAATTAATAGTAACATTTTTTTTCTTTTCACATTCATTAGCATCAATAAACTTCCACGTATAGTCAATATGTCGGTGGATTGATTTGTCTAACGAGAGGTAAATAAGGTTTTTGTTTTCTTTCCGTTTATAAACAATTTAAACACACGTCCCAAACTAGAACCGGTTCCAACCGGTAAACCAACAATTAAACCGTTTTCACCACAAAAGAAATCTCTGTCCCGATCAATGGCTGGCTATATATACACACGAACAGACAAGAGATAACATGACTTATACCAAACACATATCAAATGCAAACACAGCACATGCAACAACAACATCAACACCACTTCGTGCTTGTCCACGGATCATGTCACGGAGCGTGGTGCTGGTTCAAACTTGCCGCTAAGCTCAAGGCCGACGGTCAACGAGTGACTGCTGTTGAACTTGGTGGGTCCGGGATCGACACGAGGCGGCTCGACGAGGTTCGTTCTGTCTCGGAGTATCTTGAGCCTTTGATGAGTTTCATGGAGTCTCTCCCTGAGGAAGAGAAGGTGGTTCTTGTTGGTCATAGCTATGGTGGCATTGGAACTTCTCTCGCCATGGAAAGATTTCCGACCAAAATCTCTGTCGGAATCTTCCTCTCTGCTTACATGCCGCACCATGACTCTCCTCCGTCCGTTCTCATTCAAGAGGTCGCAGGAAAAAAAATCTCCATATTTTTTAGATAAATGAAAAAATAAAGTTTTTATTATCTTGATTGGGACCGTTCTTGAAATTATAATCGCATGTCACTTTCTGTTTGTCTACAGTATTTCAAGGGACTACCTGATGGATTCGCCATGGATTCTGAGTTTACATTCGAGGAAGGACCTGAACAACTGCCAAGTTCAGTTATGTTCGGTACTCGTTTCTTGAAGGAGAAGGCATACAGTAATTGCAACATGGAGGTGAGTTTTACATACATTTCTTTTTAATATATATATTGTTTTTGTGGCGTATTTTAAGCTCAATTGTTCAGGTGATTACTATCTGATTTGCAGGATGTAGAATTAGCCATGGCGTTGGTGAAACCGAGCAGGTTATACGCAAAGGAAATGGAAGGTGAGGATTTGGTGACGAAGGAGAGGTATGGATCTGGGAAGAGAGTGTTTATCCTCTGTGAAGGTGACAATGTGCTTCCAGAGGAGATTCAGAAGTGGATGATTAGTAACTACGAGCCTGACGAAGTGAAGGTGATTGAAGAAGCTGGTCACATGGCTATGATCACTAAGCCTCAACAACTTTCTCAACTGCTAAAGGAAATAGCAGCGAAGTACAACTGAAAGAAAATGTAATATTAACAGTGTATTGAGAGAGTATCCTGAAATCAAAGTAGCTCTTCGAGCGTGTGTCTCTCACGCTCTCACTTTTATTTATGGTATATGAAATAAGAGAGCTTTCAATAATTTGGGATTCTTGATATTCTACATTACATTGCTTACTGTATTTAGATGGCGCAGTTTCACATTAGCTTGGCTAAAGAGTATCTTATACCTTTCAGATTTGGATTGTGGAGGCAAGAAGCATTATGCTCTCTGATTTTATTATAGCTCCTGCCACCAGTCAAGAATGTAGGATCACTCTGCAGAAACAGAGCTCGTGTTAGCTTCACTTGTGTCAGAAACCCAAGAAAATTCGATTTGACATGAGATTCTCGAACTTACACAGACGATTCTACATGTGAGCCAATTTAGTTTGAAAGTTGATCTGGAAAGAAAGACTTCTTTTGTGTTGGCATCTGATCCTTCTGTCTCACAGAATCTCACCTGAGAAGCACCACACGAAGAGGTATGCTACCTTTGGTCCAGATAATTTACTCGTGGAGTAGACAGAGCTCTTGAAACCTTGACAAACTGTCTCAAAATAGAAAATGTGATCATTAGGTTAGGTTATTGTGTATCATATGCATATGGTGAGTTTATTGTAGCGATGATAAGACTAACCGTCGTAGAAGAGCTTCTGGGTTATATGGGAATAGATTCTTCTGATGTAGCTTAACGACTGATTTTTGCAATGAAAGAAGACAGTCCTTAGCATCTTCATAGGCCTGGGAACATAATTTCCGATTCTGTTCAACCTCACAAGTCTCGAGCGAGTATTTTCTTCTCTTTGAAGACGAAGCATCTACATTTCCTTCAAATGGAAATTCCACAAACAGCGTCCAGGAATCACAGACTGCGCGCAAGCATCTACCAAGTAAAAAAAGTGGATGTTACACAGGAATCATCAACCTATGTTATGTATTTCTTTGGGATATGCATTAGGTGATTTGAAACCTAGAGAAATTCACTCTTGATATGCAAATAACTTGGGAGAAAAGGATTAACCTCAGCAGGTACTCTGCACAGCTAGCCCCAATGTCTTTAGATATAAGGTAATCAAGAAGGACTTGATGATCATAATGCAGCTGACAATAGAAAACAAGAGGTGCATCACATTAAGAATTGCAACAAAGATTGAACAACTAACCAAGAACATAGCACAAGTGATTCCCATATGTGAATATTTTACGAAAATTACCTCTGAAAGAAATATACAGAACAGGATTACAGGATTGAACAAGATTGATAAACGGAAGAGAATAATTTGTTCCTTAGTTTGAAACGAAAGGTCTTCCGCATTAAACCTATAAGTTAAAAAAAAACGCTCATAAGAGAGCTCATGGAAATTTGGTTTAACAGTTTGCAGAAAGGCAGTGTTTTACCCTACTTGCAGTTCCTCTGCATGCAATGGTACAGATAGAAATTGCAGGAGGACTTTAAATAATAGATCATCCTACAATCAAACAGAGAAAAGGCATGATATAACTCTACTGTATGGTTTTAAGCTAAAAGCAACCCCAAATACAAATGGCAGATAGAGAAGGATTAACTTAAACCTCATGCATGAACAGCCGGACAAAGGATGTAGAAAAGTCAACACTCTTCTTGGTATATGTACTGTGATCACAAAATGTATTGCCTGGAATTTGTCTTTCAATCCAGTTAGACATCTTTTCCATCGCTTTCTTTCTACAATTAAACTCACAGTGCTTGTCGGTATGTCTACTTGAATAAAGCATAGTGAAGGAGCACCGTAGGAACAGAAACACAGAAAGTCTTTGCAAATGTTTGGAATGCGTCTCATTGACCTCTCTATCCGACAAACTCACAAAAAATGGAGATCCTTCCAAACAATTATCTTGGACTGGTTTAAGCCCAGTTAAGTTGTGTTGAAGAAAGCCTTGAAAATGGCGTTGCAAATATTGCAGCCATGAAAGAAGAATGGTACATTTTATATTGGACTGATAAGTAAGTCTGATCATCAACACCTACAAAAAGGAGAGAAATCAGCGAGGATGAACTTACAATCAGAGATATAACGAGAAAGAAAGCAAAGAGGTTCTCCTGAACTTACCATCAACTTGTGCACTAAGTATCTTTGCATGCAAGAGCCACTTTGACTCTCTAACTTTGGTTGGCACCAACGGAGGAGATCAGGAACAAGGTCGATGGTTTTTTCGAGTATCAAATGTGTAGGTCCAAAACCATCAGAATCTTCTGCAAAGCGATCCTGCTGAACCACGGAACATAGAAACTGAACAAAGCTCCCAAGAAATACAGTTACTTCCTCACTGCTTGCAATGCTTCCGTTATGACCTTTGGAGTTTCTTTCATGATGATTAGAATGAGAACAAAAAGTATCCACACGACACCAAGTGATTTTTGCAAGTGTAGAATTGACAGATTCCAAGTATACATCAAGAAGTTCCTCATTTTCTTCTTGTCTCAACCGCTTCAATATATCACGGAGAACTCGAAAGATAGCAGACACCGTGCACCAGTTAGCCTTTTGCAGCTTACATTTAAGAGCATCAGAACCAAAGGAATGTAGATCCGGACTCTCAAATCCAGTTGCAGAAGAAACAGCAGGAACTGGGCTACAGTTCATAACTGCTAAGCGCAAAGAGTCACAAAGCAATCGAATAAAATCACCCCATTGCCTTCCCTGGCAAAATAAATGAGCAGGAATAAGGGATTGAGGATATGACATCTAAAAAACTCGAGTGAAACAGAGCTGACTACATATTCAACCAGTGACTCGGATACTTCCACAAGAATGTTGCCAGCCAAATGTTGAACATGCACATTCTTCATACTTAACAAACCAACCTGCCAGAAACACCAGAGACACCAGATCAAGCTAAGGACACGATCTCTTTATCAAACAACTTCATATCATAGACATCCTAAACCATCAAAGGCACAATTTTTTTCTATAGACATCCTAAACCTTCGAGAACTAGATATCAAAAACGTATCCACCATCTGCAGTGATAATCAATTTGACTCTGCTGAGAGAAGTTTCTATGTAGAAAGAAGAACTTACAAGATCTGCCACAAGTCTTTGTAAGCATAGATACTCTTCAGATTCTGGACCATACGAAGCAGCACCAGTTTCTTCTTCCTGTTGAACGAAGCTAATCAAATAGCTGCAATAACCAAGCCTAACAATCCTACACACAAGGAAGAGTACTCGAACCAAGGCACTCACCGACGACACATCACTGCCGATTTCGGTAATCCAAGATCGAATTTCTCTCAGCACCTGCAATACCATTTTTTTTTCTCTCGGAGTAAATCAAACTCAACGCCGTTTATTATTAGACTGGAGCTTCGAAGACAAAAACACAGGACCCAAAAAAAAAAATGTACCTGCGATAGAGAAAGAAGCAGACTTTTCTCCATTTCCTTCGTCGGAGAATTTACTTCTCTTTCCTACATGTCCCCGATAACGATTGAACGTTGCGTTTACAGAATCAAATTACGCTAATTCACAACGACGCGGAGAACAAGAGAACTTACAGCGTAGCGTCGAACACAACGATCAATCAAGATGTGAAGACGAGAAGCTCTATCTCCGGTAGCCATTTTTTCCGACGAGTGTGTAATCTCTCTCGCCGGTAGCGCCGTTTTGTTATTAAGAGATGTTCGATACGCAGCGTTTTTAATCATACGAAGAGACTTTAACTTAAACGCACCGTTTTGAGAAACTGAAGAAAGGCCTTTCTAGCGTTTATGCCGCTAAACGAAATAGCTTCTTCCGTTGTAGAACTAACACGGAAATGCGTTTCGATCGCCGCACTGAAACGGGCGCGTCAGATCCACGCTCTCGTCCTCACCGGCGGCGTAACGGCTGAGTCTCCGTACGCAAGCAACAACCTCATATCTATGTACGTGAGATGCGGCTCACTGGAACAAGCGCGGAAGGTGTTCGACAAAATGCCTCAGAGAAACGTAGTTTCTTACAATGCGCTTTACTCGGCGTACTGCCGGAACCCGGATTATGCGAGGTGTGCGTTCAGTCTCATAACCCACATGGCGTTCGATTCCTTGAGTCCCAATAGCTCCACTCTCACTAGCTTAGTGAAGGTATGTGCTTTGCTTGAGGATGTTTTGATGGGTTCATCATTACATTCACAGATTATAAAGCTTGGATTTTCAGATAATGTAGTTGTTCAGACATCGGTTTTGGGGATGTACTCTGCTTGCGGGGACTTGGATTCCGCGAGGAGAATCTTTGAGCGTGTCAACGATGGAGATGCTGTGGCTTGGAACACAATGATAGTTGGGAGTTTGAGAAATGATAGGATAGAAGAAGGGCTTATGCTCTTTAGAAGCATGTTGATGTCTGGTGTTGATCCAACGCAGTTCACGTATTCGATGGTGCTGAATGCTTGTAGTAAACTGGGAAGTTACTCACTGGGGAAGCTAATCCATGCCCGGATCATAGTCTCGGATACTTTAGCTGATTTGCCTGTAGAAAATGCTCTTCTTGACATGTATTGCAGTTGTGGGGATATGAAAGAAGCGATTTATGTGTTTGGGAGGATTCATAAGCCGGATTTGGTTTCATGGAACTCGATTATCTCAGGGTGCTCGGAAAACGGCTTTGGTGAGGAAGCGATTCTTATGTATAGGAGGTTGCAGTGGAAGTCCACACCTCGGCCTGATGAATATACTTTCTCTGCTGTTATATCTGCGGCAGCGGAACCAGAAAGACTCGTTCATGGAAAGCTTCTCCATGGACAAGTAACTAAATTGGGATATGAAAGGAGTGTTTTCGTTGCAACAACACTCTTGTCCATGTACTTCAAGAACGGGGAAGCTGAATCTGCTCAGAAGGTGTTTGCTGTGATCACGGAGAGGGATCTTGTTCTGTGGACTGAGATGATCGTAGGGCAATCTAGACTGGGAAACAGCGAGTGCGCGGTCCAGCTCTTCGTTGAAATGCTCAGAGAAAAAAATAGAACTGATGGTTTTTCCCTGAGCAGTGTCTTGGGAGCATGTTCAGAGATGGCGATGCTAGGACAAGGTGAAGCTTTCCATTCTCTTGCCGTGAAGACAGGATTCGATAGTGTTGTGTCGGTATGCGGAGCTCTAATTGACATGTACAGCAAAAACGGTAGATACGACACCGCGGAATCGATATTCTCACTTGTTTCAAATCCGGATTTGAAGTGTTGGAACTCGATGCTAGGAGCTTATAGTCAGCATGGAATGGTAGAAAAGGCTCTGAGTTTCTTTGAACAAATCGTAGATAACGGTCTCACGCCTGATGCAGTAACGTACCTATCTTTATTAGTAGCCTGCAGCCACAGTGGATCCACAGAGGAAGGTAAGTTCGTATGGAACCAAATGAAGGAAAAGGGAATCAAAGCAGGGTTTAAGCACTACTCTTGCATGGTGGGTTTGGTATCAAAAGCTGGGTTATTAGACGAAGCTCTGGAACTTATAGAGGAATGTCTTCAGGAAAACAATCAAGCAGAGCTCTGGAGAACTCTGCTAAGCGCCTGTGTTAACACAAGAAACTTGCAGATGGGACTGTACGCAGCTGAGCAGATCCTGAGACTTGATCCAGAAGACACTGCAACACACATTCTACTATCGAATCTCTATGCTGTGAACGGGAGATGGGAGGAAGTTGCAGAGATGAGAAGGAAGATTAGAGGATTAGCTTCTGCTAAAGATCCAGGATTGAGCTGGATTGAAGTGAACAACAACAGTACACAAGTTTTCTCCTCTGGAGACCAGTGTAACCCAGAAGTTAATCTAGCTCAAGATGAATTACATAGGTTAAAGAGTCATATGTTGTGTAGATCATCATTCATTGAACAAGATCAGTTCCTTGCAAGACTTGAGTATTCAGATTAAAAGTTGTTCTAAGCAAAGTATCCTCATTTCAACTCGATATCACTTGTGCAAGAACACTCTTATAACAGAGTAGAAAGTAACAAGGTAAGATCTCAAAACGCAAAAAAAACACAAACTTTCTGTTTTCTAGTTCCCATACACAAAATCTAAAACCGACCAGACACACTAAAGAGTAAGAGATCACTAAAGATTGAAAATGCCAATCGAGACTTCAAAAGAAGGAACTGAAACCCTCTGGCAAAGATGGAAGCTTTATGAATAGTCTTCATTTGAGTGAGTTTCCTGGTGTTGTGATGGAAAGATCCGGCCACGCAAAGTACTCATTGGAGGCGAATCCACCGGCGTTGCTGCTCTCTAAACCCTCGAACTGCCACGTGGCGGGTATCGGAACCGCGTGGTGACCACCGTTACTCCCTACATTCGTCGTCGCAGCATCACCCACGGATGAAAACGGCCACATCGCTCTTCCCAGTCCATAGCTGACGTCATCAAAACCCGAACCGAGTCCGATTCCAAACCCGCCGAGTCCAATAACCGAACCGGTTCCATGCGTGACGGTCGCGGCGGCGGAGTTTTGGTTCAAGAGAGAGGTGAAGCTGCCGCAGAGAGATAAAGCGCTTCCCTTTGCGTCGTTTTCAAGCGGAGCGGTCACGGTGTGGCTAACGCCGTTGGAGATTGACGACTGAGGGAAGAGAACAGGTGTCGCTTGAAACGGAACGCTGCGGATTCCGGAGCAGTTAGAGACGACGGAGTTAACGGCGGAAGCGGCGGAGGATGAGCAAGTGCGGGAGCGTTTTGCAGCTTTGCGAGTACCGCCGCCGATGGGAATGTCGCGGAGAGTACCACCGTGAGTCCAGTAACGGCGACAGGATTTGCAGAAGTGACGAGGCTGAGAGAAGTTGTAGTTGTTGTAGTAGCAGAACTTGGTGTTGGTTGAGTCACAGCGAGGGCAAGGGAGTTGCTCTTGCTGCTCCGTTGACGGAGGAACTCCGCCGTGAGGTTTCATGGCTATCCGCCGTGATTCGCCGGAGTCAGTCGTCGCCATAATCGGAAAGTGAAGAACAACAACAAAAAATTAAGGGTTGTTTGAGAAGGGGAAACGCGGGAATGAAGAAAGATTGAAGCTTTAGTTGTTGAGAGGGTTAAAGGTTGAAACTTTATGTTACGAGGGAGTGAGATTTGGGGACTTTGTTTGCTTTTTTATGGAGGAGATAGAGATAGAGAGAGAGAGAGAGAAAGGAAACATGCGCAGATAGAAATGGGGATGGAGAAGAAAGTCAGGCTTTTTTTTACAGAGGGTGTTGGGTTGATTAGAGGCCACGCTCTGTTTCTCTCTCTCTCCTCTCCCTCTCAGAGTCTCTCTCTCTCTCTTGTCTAAAAAAATTTGTCTTTTTCTTGGAGTTTTTATTTTTGGAATTGTTGTTGAGTCGGCTATGGATTATTGTGAACAGTGATGGCTCTGTTTCCTCCCTAAACACTATGAGCCGGCTCCTCTTCATACGTATAGGTGGCTCTTCTTTCAAAGTTTTCAGTTTTTTAACAGTGTCAATTAAAAAACATTATTCTACTTATATAAAACAAAAACAAAAATCGAACTTTTAGATGATTTTTATACGTGGAATAATAGTATTAGAGAGCTTCCGTGGTTAATAAACTGTTTTTTTTTTTAAATGGTTCTTTGTAATGGCTTAAGGAAAACAAAAGAACAGCACCTAAATGCCGTCATGAAAAATATAGTTTTTTATATGATTGTCGCAATATTTGACCATTTACAAAACACTCTTACTTACTTATGTGATTGTGAATAGTATGGCGCACCAACGTTTTAGTTGACAAATATGTTGAGTTATATGAAATGAGATAAACGAAATCTTTTCACTTCAAAAACTTCAAGGAGAAAATTATAATTCACCGTTGTGGTTTCTAAGATGTACTAAACTTTTGCTACCTACAAAAAAAATATCGGGAAAACATCATGATACAGATTTTAGTCTAATCTTTACCAACCTTTTTTTTAAATCAATTTTGATAGTAGAAAGGAAAAATAGAAACAATTATTGTACTTGTTTCTCTAATAATGTTAAAAGGTCGGTTTAGTCATGGCGTTTGCCTTTATGTTAAAAAGTTTTAAATTAGTAATCAACAGTTAAAACTAATAATACTGATATAATTTACTTTGTGTGTAAACACAAATACTTCATCCGTTCTAGAAAATATGATGTTTTAGATTAATTACACATATTAAAAAACAGTTACTTTTTGATTATAAATATATTACTTTTTGATAATCATTTTTTTAATAAATGTTAACCAATAACAATTTAAAAATTTAAATAATTTTAATTAATTTTTTAAAAATTTACAAAAATTTGTATTTAATATCTTAAAACATCAATTTTTGTGAAACCAAAAAAAAATCTAAAACATCAATCTTTGTAAAATAGAGGGAGTACATGTGAATAAAAAACAAAATGATACGGAGATAATGCATAGAGAGAGAGAGGAGTAGGTCGCAGTAGGCAACGCAGGTAGGAGGAAGACTATTGAGCTTATCAATGTACGGCCGGTTCCCACTTCCCAGTAATTCTACCAATTAGTACTATTTTAATTTTCAATTATTATAAAATAATATTTCGTCAATTATTATTTTAATTTTCATTCTTAAATACCATACATTTATACACAAAGCAATCGTATTTTTCCGATACCTTATACTACTACATATTTATAGATAAGTGTGTTATTCCGTTTTTTAAAGTATTGTACGTATACGTTTTTTCATATATATAAATAATACAGTATGTTTCCCGCTTTTTTATTTTAAAATCATAAAAGGAATTTTTACGTAAGCGTAACTCTTCGGCAATTTAAAAAATAATCCTATGCATGTTCCATAAAGTTGGAAACAAGGGACACGTTTTTCTATTATCGTCTTCGTCTTCGTTAAATTAAACATGAAAAATGGATAGATTTTATTTATTAGTATTACTTTAGTTTGAGACGAAATAAACTATTGTTGTTTGTGGGATCACGCAGCTTTTGAAATTAAAGTCCAAAAAAATTGATCTTTGTGTTCATTTGTTCGCTGTCTAAGAAAAGACAATACAGTATTGTGTACCAAAAACCTTTTGTTTGTTTATTTGTAGATTATTCTTTTGCCAACACTTTTTGTTGGAATAAATATTTTTATTCAAAGTATATATACATGAACAGATGTGACAGGCTTATTTATTCAAAAGTTTATACAGAAGTTTGCGGGATTTTTAATTAGAATGCTAATGACGGTGGACCCTGCTTTCGTGTTTCTTCAGCACTAATGTTGTGTTTTAATAACTTAAGTCTACGAAATGATAAAAAGTTAATACTATAGTTTTTAAATTCACGTTGTAACTTATGATGTTGGTTTGATTTAGACAGGCGAATCAGAATCTATCTTACTCGATATCTATAAGACGACTAACAATTTGTAAGTTTGATCGCACAAGAGCACCACATTAATCCACATCAATACCAAATCTACGCAAATAGATATTATTGGATTTATTTACACAGTGTATGGTTTAAAGTTACAAACATGGGACGAAAACAAACATAACCTTTTTAAAAAAAGAAAAACTTGGCACCAAACTTCAAAACCTAATAGTAAATCCAAATACACTTATACAGAAACAATTCTACTATTTGAACAAAATTTATAAGTTCTTAAATGAGAATCAACATCATCTTATGAAAACTGTGACAGTGAGAGAGAGAGAGATGAGGAGGATTGCGCAATCAGAGGAAATGTGTAATTATAATTCTTCACGCCTTGTCCCAACCTATTCCCATCATTCTGTCTCTCTCTCCGCATTTCTCGTTTATAATTTTTTTTTATTACTCGTTTAAATTCTATTTTAAAAATAAAAATAAAAAGAAATAACGACTTTTGCAGAACGTCAAGAAAATACCCTACAAAAACATAGAACGTGATTAAGACAAATCCGACGTTTTCTTTGAACTAAAGTTTTCATACTGGTCTGGTCCATATAAGTTATACAACAAACTTACAATACGTACATGGCATAAACGGAGAGAGGAGAGAGAGAGAATCTTTAAAAGAAAACGGTCAAAGAGACAAGAGTGAAGCTGTCGGGTCGGGTCGACGGAGGTGGATAAGCACGCGCAGCCGGAGGAAGAAGATATGACCCACACTTGAACCACCATCCATTTCAACGACTCTCTCTCTCTTTCTCTCTCTAGTCGCTTTCACACCCAAAACAATGAAGAGAGAGAGAGCAGAGAGGTGTGGATTGTGTGTTGTGTCATAGGGACGATGTGTCCTATTTGTTTTGCAGCCGTCCTTTCGTTGTCGGTTATTCGGGTCCGGTCCGGTCCTTTCAGATCAAAACTACTGACACCTAATCCTTATTCCCTCTCTCTCTCTCTCTCTTCTCTGTTTCATCACTCTTCTTCTTGTCTTTTTCTTCCTTAACCCTCTGTTTTCTGATTCCGATTCTCAATCTTTGATCCGATGGCGATTTTTTTTGTCTTTGTATATGTGCTTCAAGTATCCATCAAGTAGGGTTAGTTTTGTATTTTTCTTGATCACGCCGTGTTTATCTGCGATCGCTTGAGTCCAACGGTCCAATGTTTTTTTTTCTTTTTTTTTATATAACTCAGTTACCAAATACATAAAAACAAATATACAAATACAACTGATTATTCCCTTTCAGTTTTAAAAGTTTCTTTTGTTCTTTCTTACTTTAATAAAATCCGAGTTTTTTGTATGTGTGTGTGTCTCAGTATAGTAGATTCATTCTTCCATTAAACTGGAACAAGATTATAATTGAGAACTAATATTTTCTGTTTTCCACCTAAATAATTATCAATATAGATTTATTCTTCCACTAAATTACACCAAGATTACATTTCTGGTTTAATCCCGCAACCATAATTGTAACTTCTTTTTTTTTTTTAATAATGAAAGACTCATTCGTAGGTTCCATGCAAGTAGTAATAAATTTGTAAACCACATGAATAAACTCCAAATCTACAATATCTTATTAAGAAATTTAAAAATCAGCAAAACATGAACAAATATATCTTTTTAACTGTAATATAACCATATAGAACTAACAACAAAAACATAGAAAGAATCTCACAATCTCAAAACAGAAATTACAATTTTTCTACATAAATTTTTTTTAAAAAAAACAAAAGAGATGCTCAAAGGTCACGAAGGTGGAGGAGATTAAAAGGAGTAACGAATTTGGAGTCGCCGTAGAGTAATTTGTCCGCAATGAGGAGATTAGCAGCTTCGCTAGGATGGTAAGGGTCCCAGAACACATGCTTTGACCGGTCCGTACAAAGGCTCGACGTTGGTCCACATGGCAATATCCCCGCCAGTCTCCCTCCCGTCCCTGTCCCACAGCACGCCTCACTCGCCGTCCTAAACCCTATCATTTGTTAATCAATCAAACTCATAAGATGTTCTTGTACTACTCAAGAACCGGTTAATTTGAACCAAGATTAAAGTTGGTCATTGGATGTTAAAAGCCCATGGGCCTCGAAGATATTATATTCTTACCGTAGTCTTTGTAGTTGACTATGAGGTCCATGACTAGATCATAGACGTTTGCATACACGAAATGTGCCTCTTTAAGACTATCTTTCAACTCCACCAACAAGAGATCTTTGAGACGAGCATTGTACTGAAGAGCAAGTTTGTTTGCTAAATCCACGCACTGTTTATCTTGCAGTTGATTGATCGATTTCTGGTACGGTATACACCCGATGGGAGCCACATTCCCCACCACAAATTTACGAGCGTCCAATGCATATAATCTCTAACAGTTTGTCCCCCACAAGATAATAATTTGATTAGCATCCAAAAAGACTTTAAAAAAAAGATTTATTCATATTTATAGCATACCTTGAGTTGGTCACGAAGATGGTTTATCATGTCCTCAACAAAAGTTTCAGGGGTTTGTGTTAATCTTGCTTGAGCTGCAACAAAAGGGACTAGATAGTTGTTGAGAAAATCGTTCGAGCCAATGACTATGGAGAATATGGATCTCTTTCTGATGTAGTCTCTAGCTTTATCTTCACCCAAAAGCTGGTTAAATTGCTTTCTTGTAATGCTAAAGTAGTCGACTTGTATATCCATTCCTAACCGATTCACCTACAAAATTGTAAATTTTTTGACCATAAGGTATATGCAACATGCTATTTGCACATATGTGTACATAGTCAAATAGATTTTTCGAGTGAAAAAAACAAAATTTAACACATATTTATAAAAATAGATAACACAAATTTTAACGTAAACTTTTTCCGTTAACCAAACGTTCGTGACACACGTAATAAACGATAGATATGTCTGTATGAAAGACAAAAAAAAAAAACTTACAAATACACTTCCAGTAGCATTGAGAATTCCACCACCACCAGATGCATAATTCACACCATTTAATAATTCTTCACCTTTTGCATTTGGTGCTAAATATGGAGCCGCATAGTTTGGTTGTCCCAACTTTTCTCCTATAGAGAAAACAGAGCAAAATTGAAATAATCATCATAAAGATTTTTTTCTTTTAGCATAATCATCATAAAGATTAAAATTTTGGATGAAAGTTATTGTTAAATTACCAACGATGTCAGCTATGGTACGACCATTGGTAAACCGGCCGGTTGGACTTCCACGGGATGGTTTGAAATCGATGCCATTAGGAGGACTATTGGCTCTAGACAACGTTTGTAAGTAATTGTTATTTCCCGCATCCACTAGCGAATCACCAAAGACAAATGATGCGGCTAAGGCATTTTGGTCTCCAGCGATAGCTACTCTTGAAAATCTTGATCCAAACAAGAACAATACGAAGAAATGGACGATGAAGTTAGCTTTATTCATTGTCATGAATGTTTTTTTTTTTGGTTCTCCTTGACAAAGATGTGTTTATATACTGATGATATACATAACTCTTCTGATTTGGTAAAGAAGCTATGAGAAGCAACCTTATGTGTTAGATTTGTAACTGGGTTGTTTAACAAACAAGGGCTTTTTTTTTATGTGGTCAACATGTTTCCAGGTTTTTTTAAAAAAATTATTACAAAAACAGAGAAAGTTAGGACACCAACATTGTGGTTCAGTAACTTTGAAAATCTAATGCCCTTGTTTTGGTATCTACTCTTAACTCCTTACATCATGCCTCAAAATTATTATTTTATTTCACAAATTGATTTTTTGTTTTCTCTAATTGGGAAACAACCAGCCAGGTAAAAAATAACGAAAAATATTAACAGTCTTATGGGCTTTTAGGAAAACACAAGTTGGGCTTATCCAATACCGAGGATTTTTTAAAAGAACAATAAAAATCGCCGTTGCCGGAAATCGAACCCGTGTCACCCGCGTGACAGGCGGAAATACTTACCACTATACTACAACGACATTTTTGTTCGTAATCAGAATCTATAGATAATATAAACGAACAAGACGGTTTGTTGCCAGATTAAATAGCCATGAATCTCAGACTAATAAACTAATTACCAGTCTAAGCTTTGACAACAACATAGAACCGCATACTAAAAAATATATATTCTCCAATTAAATTAAGAAAATTTTGTAAGTGAAGTAACATTCACTCTGATCTTTGTTTTTTGTACATTATCACAAACTTTTGACGACAAAACATTAAATGATCCAAATAATTATCATTTGATAAACTACAAATATGAAAAAGATGGATAATCGTAATAAATATAAAAGAATTGACTAAAGAAAAAACAAAAACAAAAACAAAATTTAAAGCAAAAATATAAGCTTTATAAAAAAATACCAGCCAGGTAACAAAGAACGAAAAAAATACTAACAGTCATATGGGCTTTATAGGAAAACACAAGTTGGGCTTATCCAATACTGAGGATATTAATATATTTAAAAGAAAAATAAAAAAGCGCCGTTGCCGGGGATCGAACCCGGGTCACCCGCGTGACAGGCGGGAATACTTACCACTATACTACAACGACATTGATGTTCTTGGTATTATTCGTTAACTCAAATTTTGTGTTGCCAAATTAAGTAGCATTGAATCTGAGACTAAAAATTAATAGCAGTCTCGACAATAATATAAACCGCATACTGTTGTTGAATGTTGATACACCATTACAAGAGGATTCATTAACTCTGAAGTCTAACAAGTAAGTTGCAGTGTCAATACCAATCTTTGTTGGAAGCAATTCTCAAAAATCTTTGAACCAAAACGTAAGCGAAAGTTTTATATTAAAGATCAAAAGACATATGTCACATGTTAAACCAACACCAATGGTCAATCTTAGGATTTAATTCAATGCTCTTATCAATATAATTGAATAAATAAATGGTAGCAAGAGTCTTAAGTTTAAGACCAAAGTCTAATATATGATCTTTTTTTTAGTTAAGACCCGACACATGGCAAGTTCTGATTGAACAAAGTCTAATTTCTGAATTGCACTTCTATAATTTATATGTTTCTATGTATAATAGAATTTCTATAAACTAATACTCGGTAAATTAATAATCAATATAAATTAATAATTTTTACCGGTCCCAAGTCGAGCCAATGTAAAAATTGACAAAATTCGATAAGATAATAAGATAATACTTTTTTGAAAGTTCTCTGTAAAAATATGGTCCCAATAATAATATAAATTAATAATTATACATTTAATCATATATTAATAATATAATATAGTAAACTATGATAATATTGTTGTTTGATTTATCTTCTAAATTCATTATTATGGTATCTTTTGAATGAATTTTATATTTTTGAAAATATTGATTTTATTTTTTATGAATATTAAAAATTCAAACTAAAACTATCTCGATAAATTAATAACTCTATAAATTAATAAAATTTGAGAATCACTACATTATTAATTTATAGAGGTTTTGTATTACTTTTATGAAGATGTATTATGTTTTAAAAGTTATTGAAATAAGTTTTTACAAAAAATATATATATATATATATATATATATTGTTTTTTTAAGACACATCAAAAGTGTCTTCATTGTATGTTTAAAAACAACAAAATACTACAAAGTGTCTTATATACATAAAGTACACAAAATATTAATAATTAATTTTTAAGACCCATACTAATGGTGTTACCATTGTGGTTGCTTTTAGTGTACTGCGTTCATAGTTACAAGCAATGGGGATGGTAAAATTGAAATTACTCAAGACCAATAGATACATATAATACCAATTTCTTGATCTGAACATCAATCACATAAAAAGTGTTCAAACAAGAAATTAAGGCTCTATAAGCAATATCGAGTTGATGCCAATGAGACTTATGAGTCCATTTAAAATGCTTGAAGATGGAACCGGAACTACATTTAAAATACTTGAAGATGGTTGGATGAATCTGATTAATATAAACATTTGAATAACTCGGTGTTGTTTACATACAATACAAAAAAAAAACTATTTCTTGGGGCTGATTCTCCCTTGAGCCGAGAAGCTAGGAGCCACCGTCAATTCAGACGGACCACTAAACGGATCCGCCGACCGGGATTCTATCGGCGGCGAATTTTCCGACACACGCCACATTTTCACCGACCTATCTAAACTCCCACTATACACAATCCACCGTCTCTCCCCGGAAGCCGATTCTTGATCTCTCTCCACCGCCAAACACTTCACCGGACCTGCGTGTCCCGTTAAAACCGAAATACACACGTGCACGCCTCCTCCTCCTCCTCCGCCGCCGCGTTCTGGCCTCCTCCAAACGCGAATCCCGAGATCGGCGGAACCGCTGAACAACAAACTCCCCGCCGCGACGAGGCAGAGCACGGCGAGTTTATGCCCTTTCAAAACGCCGCCGTTTTTCATGTTGTGATCTCGTTGCCAGAAGTTAACGGTTCCGTCGGAAGACCCACAATAAACTAACGTCGCGCTCTGATCAACCGCGATCGCCGTAACGGCGCAGTCTTGTTTTAAAAGCGTCTCGGAGAAGAAATGTTTCGTCTCCTTCGCTTGATCCTCTCTCCTCCACACCTTAACCGTCCCGTCCGCAGATCCGGTGAAAACCAAACCGTCGAAACCCGAAACGACGGCGTTTACAGCGTCCTCGTGAGCGTTCACCGACTCCAAACACCTCAGATCCGAGACTCTCCACACTTTAAACGTCTTGTCCCACGATCCGGAGTACAGAAGCCTCTTGTCTTCGCTCAAGGCGAGGCACGAGATCGCGTCCAGGTGCCGGAACCCTTGCGCGCTGGTGCTGGTTCGATTCCGCCTCGTGAAATTGAAGTACGAGGAAGGCGCGATCGAGTTTCTGATGTAGTCCCGGAGATTCGGCATCGTGCCAACGCGGCGGAAGACGTTGGAGTCCCTCGACGAGGCTTTCCAGACGCGGATCTTCCCGTCCTGATGCCCCGTGAAGATTTTATCTCCGGCGAGCACGATCGCTTTCACCAACCCGCTGTTCGATTTGAAACTCGAGAACTCGATGTGGTTTTTCCAGACTCTGATGTTTTTGGAATCGGATCCTGTGTAGAGTAAATCGCCAGATGTAGCTAAGGAATAGATGTGGCCTTCCTCACGGACCAGGGAGCCCATGAGGATGTTGGGAGAGTAGATCTTGGTTTCGTCGGTGGACGCCGCCGTAGATTTCGCCGTTGAATACGCCGGTTCTACGTCGGTGGGATCGACTTGCACCGCCCATGGTGATCTTGACAGAGGAGAAGAGGAGCCTTCGGAGGGAGAAATGTCGACGTAGGTGATGTCGTAAATGTCAGGATCTGGATCAGTTTCTACTCTCTTTAGCTTTGTGAATTTCTGGCTATTGGTGTCTCTGCTCGAAGCATTACGATGCATTTGAAGAAATCAAGATGAAAGATTAGAGCTTCTCGTTGTTGGATTTTAACTTTTTAAGACAGATTTTCCGATTACAACATCGTCGTGAAAACAAATAAAAATTAAAAGGTTGGTGACCATGGTGTGTGTCTATATGGAGTTTAGTCTATATATAGTATTTATTCAAAATCGAAACCATTTATTCCGGAAGAAATTTCCATTGATTTTGTTTAAAGATGAAACACGAATTATAAAATCAAGAAAAAAAAGAAGAAGAATACGAAGTATATTCATCTACTTTCTATTTTTAAGTTTGATCACCGAAAACTCTGTCAAAGTATAAAAAAGAGATGATTTCTTTCTTTTTTGTTTGGTTGTTTTACTCTTACAAAATCAATCTTTTTGCCTTAAAAAGTTTTGGACGAACTTGTCTCACCAGTTTCTTCGTTCCTGCTTCAGCCATTCTTTTTCTAAGTTGCTTTTCCACTGTTTCTGATGAGGTTTTTCCATTAATAAGTCCCATAATTGAGCTTAGAGTGGAGATGCGATAATCATCACTAGCCAATATCTGATCAAGTCCTACCACATTAGACATCGACGGTGTAAACTTAAAAACATCTCGATTTGCGTCGACCTCTGGAATCGAACCCATGACTTTCCACTTGTTAGCACTCAAGTCGTACACGTGAATCACTCGGTTGTCATTCTTCTTAGAGACCAACACTAAACACTTACCGTCGTAAGCCTCCACGCTCCGATAATCACGCCTCGTTTCGTCCAGCGGCACTACGTTCCGGATCTGCGTCACGAGGACCCACTTGGGATCACTGAGAATATCCTCGAGGGCATAAACGTAAATGACTTCCTTCGTTGCTGATACCAAAACTAGGTTACCATCACCGGCGGCGAAGAGCGCTTTCAAACTCAATCCATGGGGGAACTCGATCGGAATCAGTCGTGCGTGCTCCGTTTCCAGGTTGATAGCTACGATGCTTCCGTCTTGTCTTAGCCAGTGAACAGATCCGTCGAAGTAAACAGGGCTTTTCATACGGTCATAATCTAGGTCGCTTGCGGGGCAAGTAATCACCGTTTTCGAAAGCCTCCACGAATCCCCGGCGTAAATCTCGAACCTATACTTCCTTTCACCGTATACTAAGTCCGAGAACATGCGGACGAGTTTGAAACCGTGAGTGGCTCGACCGATTTGATCAACTGCGAACCCGATGTGCTTTTTGTTGCCCTGACAAACAGGTTTTGGATGACTCGTTACCCTATCGAATTCCATCATCCTAGAGTTGTTCAAGAACCGAAACTTCTCCGTAATGGGATTTACGACGCATAGACAGTCGTCAATGAAGAGTAGAAGAAGGCCAGAGCAAGATCCCAAGATATGACACTCCTTTAAGCCGGTCTTTGTGATTCTCGTTGACCTAGAATCGCGGAAAGGGTGGTAGGAGAGCAAATTTGAGCGATAAGTGGAGGAGATATGGAACAAACCGGATTCGATCAGAGAAAAGTATTCAGAGTTAAAATACGGGTCGTGTGTAATATGCGAGTTGAGAGATCTATTTGTGCAACGCATCATCGCCAGAGATCTGAGATCTATGCCGAAGAGAACTTTGTCTAAGAGATGTCTTGATAAACTGTCCATTATCGTTTTTTTTTTTTTTTTTTAGAATTTCTGTTTACTTTTGTTCTGATCTACTTTATTGTTTATGATTGTGTGCATTCATATATATATGTTTGGTTGAAAACCAAACTCCAATAAGGAGACGGATTTGATAAAAGGAAACTCTAATTTTTTGTTTTTATTCAACAAAAGAAAATGTTAATTAGCTTTTATTTAATTATTCGTTTCTTTACGAACGCGAGGGCTTGCGGCATGCGCCTGTGTTGTAATTTTATTTTACTTTTAAAAAATATGAATTTAAAATGCATAATTTACAGAGAAATTGAGTCATATGACCATATTTTCAAATTAAATTCATAAATTAACCATAGCAAAGTAGATACTATAGTATTCTTCATATATTTTATAATATATACAAAATTACCTTTTTTTGTTTTTTGTTTAATTTCTTTTCTTTACGATCCTCTCTTCTCTTCTCATCCTTTTTCATTTCATTTCCTCTGCTCACATCGACTCATCTCATCTCTCATCTTTTCTTTCTCTTCTCTTTGCCTCTGCTTTCCTCTCCTCCCCTTTTCTTTCGTGTTTTTCCTTTCCTTTCTCTTTTTTTTGTATATACTATATCAAATTAGACTATTCCATAAAATTATATATAGTATAGTATGTAGTATCATATAGTATAAGGTTATTTTCGATAATTGATTGTGGGCCATAGTTAATTTACCAATTTTTCAAATATCATAGCTATATTTTTTGATTGTTTTTCGAATATGGTTATTGAACAAAAAAATCCTAATTTGCAACTTAATTTTTTTTTTTTTCCCTTTTTGAAGGTGGTCCTCTTGGAAAACTACAGGTAGTCCCGTTGGCTAAGAAGAAAACGACAAAGAACAGTTTAATCGCCTGCGCTGAAGTAAGAGTTTGACGATGACACGTGTCTCTAAGGGTTTGTTCCCGTGAGTGAGTCGTGTGACGTCGTCTTTGGCCTCTTGCTTTCCCGCTCTGCCTGATAAGGGGATTTCTCACAAGGGGCTCATATTAACCGTTTGTTTTTCCCCTGGAGAGATCTTCGAACTCGTTAATGGAGGAATCTGTTTTGACTTGAATTCGCATGACGTTCCTTTGCAATTTCTTCCGACGGAGACTTCGTACTCTCTTGCGGACTTTTTCACGGGAAGAGCCTGACCTTCAGGTCAAATTAGGGCTTACTGATACTCTCCTCACACTGCGGAATTTCCGATTCGATGTTTCTCAGCTCAATCAGCTCCTCGATGGATCCAGTTTTTCATTCGAAGGATTTACCGTCCACCACCTGGTTTTTCACTTGTCCCTCTGGTCAGCTCCGGCCATTCGGATCGAAATTCGCGGTGTACATGTCAGATTGTTGGCCAGGTAACTTTTACCCCATCGCTCAATTGTTATTTCGTGTGTTGGGTATCGAATTCAATAGTTCTCTAGGGTTTATCGGTTCTGTGTGTTTACTTTTCCCTTAGAGAGGAGGAGGAAGGAAGCTCGAGAAGGATGCGAGCATCGCCTGAAACTTTAGCAAATGAGATAAAAAAAGTTCTGTCGTCTATTGATCCCGAGGTACACCTGTTAATTTGGTTTCCAATTTTGCTACTGTGTGAATGAAAGAAGCTCTTTTCCCCCAAATCTTCATTGATTCTGGGATTGATTTGGTTGATCGTGAATGTAACTATGTGTGTAATGTCAATTGCTTTTTTTTTTTCTTTTTACATCGCAGGGATGCTTCTTACATGAAATTTTGGAAAGGATGCTGGATGGCACTTCCCAGAGAAGTAAGCTCAAAATCTCCTTCTCGAATCTTATCCTCAGGCATTTCCGTATTCAGCTGCATGATATTAATGTTCAAGTTCGTTTACCGGGTTCAAGTGAATTGGGTTTTGTTCTGGAAATCAACGAGCTGAGGAGTGACACTGAGAATTCTGGGAATCTTAGTATATTAAGGAGTTCAGCTGGTGCAGTTTTATTCCCTTTGAGTCGTAGTTCCTTGACACTGAGTGGTTACGGTTTCAAGATTGGGTATAAGAGGAGTAATGATATCGCCGACCTCTGTGCATTTGACAGCCTTGTCATGTTGATTACACTGCATAATCTTCAACTTACTGATCTGATCCTCCGCATTCCGGAGTTAAGCTTCTCGTTTAGACCCACTGATCTTCCGGTTTTTATGGGACTCGCGAAGTTATCTTCCAAAGACGGTAATTCTGTCAGAAATGGACGTCATCTCTGGAAAATAGCTGCTCGCGGAACTGGCTTGATGATCTCACCTCCTCACACTAATTCATTCCAGAATGTAGTTAGTGCTGTTATCCTCTGGCTGCGATACGTGAATGCTTACGAGTATTTGCTATCTTTAGCTGGGTACTCGAGGAAAACACCAGAGGAATCAGCACTTTGGAAAGTTTCAGAAAACAAAGGGCATATTGTAACTGCTAGACGTAAATGGGAGATGATATGTAATATTGAGAAAGAACTCCCTGCTGAAGCGATCGCACGGGCGCGGAGAGTAGCCAGATACAGAGCCTGCCTGAATTCTGAGAATGCTAATGATAGCTATGATGAGACTTCCCTATATGGCCACTTCAGTTTTTTGTGTAAGATCACCTGGGTTTTAGCTTATATACGGACACTTATTAGTAGGACATTCTGGTCTATAACCCGCTTTCTCTCGTACACTCAAGAACTAGGGAACAATGAAGATGATTTCGAGGGGATATCTCTTGAGTTTCATGCAGTTGTCAATCTTGGGAGACTTTCTATCACATTTTATCCAGAGAAAATGATTTCAAGTTCATGGAAAGACAGCGCTGGACACACGGACTCAAATGTTGTCGTTCTTTGCCTTTCGGCTGATGAGGTTTTGGTTATGCATACTGCTGGCTGTCTTACTCAGTGTTCGTCTGCTTCCTGTGGGAAACTGAAGGTTGAGTCCTCTAGTTTTAGAAAAACCAGTCGTTTCATGAGATCTACAAAAGATCCCAGTACTTCTGCTGAAAGTAGTAAAAAGCATATGCGTGAAGATGTGGAAACTATCCTAGAGATGCACCCAGCACAGCCAATCCTACTTTCCAAAACAGATAGCAATCATGGCAATGATCGACATGAAGGCAATCTACATCTACAAAATCTTTTGAGAGAAATGTGGTCGAACTGGAAGAGCAATTGCTTGAAGTTAGATAAAAGTACTTTTAAAATTTCTGAGAACCCCTGCTTACTCGTTGATGTTAAAAGCTGCATGGCATATCAGGATGCTGGTAACCAAGATTCTGGGCTCTGGAAATGCAGCATGGTATTGGGAAAGTTGGATATCGTTTTAGAATATTCATCGTTGTTTTCAATCGCTCTGTTAATGTGGCAGACACAACAATCTCAGAGCTTATTTGTAGACGATATTACTGGAGGGGTTCATTCAAGTTCATTGGTAACAGGTGGGGTTGATTCTGAAATGGCTAGTTATGATGAAGATGGGATCGCCAGACGCATTATTGAACAGTCTTTACATAGAGTTCATCCAGAGAGACAGATTAATGTTGGCATACTTGTTGGTGGCCCCCAGGTCAAATTGTTCGTGGAGAAGGCTGAAGAAGTGGATGCTTTAATTGGGAAGAAAGATATTCTTTTATTTGATTTCCATGATTTTGAGTTTGTTGTCTGGCCGACTTCAAAATCTGACAACACAAGATCAGATAGGCCTTCGCGTCAGGAGCTGGGGCTAAGTGATACTGTGATTCCAAAATATGAAAAATATGTTTCTCAAGGATGGAATTCTCTTTCCTCACACCTAGGGTTTTTTGGTTTTGATTGTTCTTTCTGCAAAATGGTAGAAAAGAAGCGGAGTCAGTTCTTTGTATTGAGACCAGTAACTATCTGCTTTTCATCTTTGAGGTGTGGGATTTCTTCTTATATCAAATTAATCCCTTTTGATCATTGGTGTTTTGCCTTTCATTGCTGCATATGTGTTAGACTAAGCTTAACATTGTCTTTTATCTCCCTGCTTGATACATGTTTTGGTTTTCATGTCATATGAGAATTGGTTGATCAAATCATTTAGCGCTGAGGATAGATACTTAGCTGCATCTCCTTCCCAAGTTATAGGACTGAGCTTTAGTGCTTCGTTGAACTAGTTAGTTTATGTCCATAAGATATTCCAAACTCCAGCGACGGTAGATCAAAGAAAAGAGGGCAATATTGCTTTGTGTGGCAGCTAACCATCCGCTTCCTCTTTCCATAGGTTTATGTATTTATATTTCTGTTTTCTTTTTATGTGATAGTTTTTACTTTCCTGTTGCGAATCACTCTTTCAATATTTCATGACTTCATTATGCAATCAATTACATTTTACGCAATTCCATCTGAATTTGAGAGAACTGCAATCTATTGCAGAAAGCATGTTCATTCCTTTAGCGAAGCTATTATCGATTTCTCAACTGGTATGGATGTGTTGGTGCTGGGACTGACTATTGTATCAAAACCGGATGACCTAATTGCTTATTTTCAGGTAAGGGAGGCTTTCTCGGCAGTTTTCCCTTTTCATATCTTTCAATCTGCATAGTATTTGAAAAATTAGTTTCCTACCGCATGAGTTTATATTTGTTTTGGTTAGTTCATGTAAGGCTCAGAATGCTCGGAAGCATGATTATCATATCCCGTTCCCATATGTGTTCCTTTTGTCCTTGCTTACATATCGTCATGGCGTTAATCTTTGTCAGTAGAACACTTGATAAAAAAGGTTCTGTAGACTTGTTACTCTTCTAGCCCAAGTGATTAATTTCTGGATATATAGACTTGTTGCTAACAGATATTATCAAGATGCCTTAGGATTTTTGTATATGATTTTAAACGAGATGATCCCTCTAGGCCTTCTTAACGTTAGACATGATGCTCAAATTGTTATGAGTTCATCAATTTAAATGGACCTGTCCTTGTGCTTTTCCGATATAAGATTCCGAACGAAACATCTGAATAGCATCAAGATCTTAATTTACCTTTTAGATTATAAAAAGATCATTCAATTAAGTTTTGTTATCTTGTACCAGATGCTTCTAAGCTTAGTTTCTGGGCTATCCCGTGGTTTGAGCGGCTCTAGCTCTGCGGGTCATTCAGTGAGACAAGAATTTATCAGATCTGATGCAGTGCATGTGGATCATGAGATCGAGAAGACTTTTGGCAAAACTCTGTTTGCAGTTAAAGCGAGCATTAAGGTGAAGGCTATAGATGTGATATTTGATGTTCCTGAAGCAGACGAAAATTTTGAGAAGCCTATGGAGCGAGCTGATTCTAGAATGTGGTCTTCTGTCCAGGAAGCATGCGCTGAACTATCTTGTGAAGAACATAGGTTTTTACTCAATGTTGATTTATGTGAACTCCAATCTAAACTCTTCAGATACAGGGATAATATATGGAAGAGTTCTGGCAACTTTATTACAGAATCTTTGCCGTTCAGGTCACATGATATCTTGTTTGAAGCATGTCTTTCTAGCTGCATATTGAGTGTGTGTCTGGATTGCTCAAGCCCATCAGCTCTAGGGGACGCCTCTGAGATGGGTGATGATTCTGCAGAAAATGCATCAATAGCAAATGAACCTACTACAAATAGAGTTCAGGTTCAGAGAGAAGTTGACCAGTTGGACTCTGCTTCAAACTCTTCACTGGCCAACTCGAGCCGTTGGATACACGTCAATTTAGCATTGACTGACTTACTTGTAGCTAGCTGCTCAACAAAGAATGTCTTGGTTGAAGTTCGTCGGTCAAGTAACTTTGTAACATCGGTCTCTATTGGGAGAAGATTTCAGTCAATTTCCTGTAGAGTCGAGGTAAATAATAATCACCACTTGCTTTATTTACATATTTTTAAGCTCTATATGGTGCATGAAGTAACTCGCCATGTTGCTGGCAGGGTGGTTTTTTTGTCCTTGAACCAGAGGCCTTGATCGGGTTAATTCATGGTTACTCCGCATACCATTTTTTCATTTCAAGTAAGATGTCAGTAATTCAATCTTCTACGCCAGTTCTTGGGAAAGTAGAAGCCGGTTCAGGTGTCAGTGAAGTTAGTAGTTCTTCTCACCAAGCAAAATGGCACCTCGTAGAAGAGTTTTCTATAGAAGTTTCCCAGTTTGCACTGGGTTTTGTCTGTGTTGATGAGTATGGTAAGTTATACTATCTTTATCTATTTGTACAACATTTATGCTACCTAAATGCATAATTGACTTTGCAAAGAAATTATGTTTGCTTGATTTTGTAGGTGGTATAAGGGAAATTGTTTTGGAGATCACTTTCCACAGTTCCCTTAATTCGGCAGGCAGAGAACAGAAGTTTCTTTGTGAAGTTTCTCGCCTATCAATTCTTTCTAAGATTCTTGAGAGCGTGGAAAAAGACATAAATATTACCCAATTTTCTTCTCCACCATTTAGTGAATCTTCTTCTATTCTGTCTGATGCTCCTTTCGAAACACCATTTGAGCAAAGGGATGTAATTAATTCAGGTGATAGCACAAGTATTTCCGGAGATTTTAATGGTTTAAGAGGATTATCTACAAACAGCAATTTACAGGAAGAATTTCACTCTCGTTATAAAAACTATATTTTGGAAGACCTACGTGTCTCTGCATCAGCTAAGAAGCGAGAAAATACCGGTCAACAGTTTAGTCAGGCCTGGGAAGGTGGTTGTTCTGTTCTGGGATTTGATATAACCATTTCTCTGTCAGAATTGCAGGTATAATATTTTGTGGTATAGTTATCAGGTTTGGAATCCATATGTAAATGGTACTGAAATGCTCCTTATCTGTTCACATTCCTATAGTTGCTAATACTCGTGTTTGCTGGCCTATCCTGTCCTGTTACATCAGATGGTCTTTTCAATGCTTTCATCTTTTGCTGCGTTACCTGGAGGAGAAAGCACCCATGCTTCTGTAGAAAGGCCTTCGTTCAACAGTAAACCTGAAAGTGAACCTGAAAGAAGTTTTGAGACCGTAGTTCCTGATGGTAAGTAGGTATATTAATATTTTAGTCATTCATAAAACTTTTGGGTTCTTCTCCTAATGGGAAATTGAAATATGTATAGGAGCGATTGTTGCTATTCAAGATATACACCAACATATGTTCTTCACAGTGGAAGATAGGGGGGACAAGTGTGTCGTGGCTGGTACTCTTCATTATTCTCTGGTCGGAGAAAGAGCTCTTTTCAGGGTATGTACAGTACAGCACAATATTTAGAACAACAGCAAGAGATAGAAAGTAATTTTGGTTTTCAGAATAAAATAGGGGGGACAAGTGTGTCGTGGCTAGCTACTTTCTTTCTTTTTTTTTGTCCTGCTTTTTTAGTGAGATGATATCCCCTAGAAATTTTGATTTCATGTGCAGGTCACCTACCACCGCCATCAAGGATGGAATTCATCCACCTTGTGGTTCTCCTTGACATCTTTGTATGCCAAAAACAATAAAGGAGAGCCATTACGGTTAAATTATCAATCAAGGTCAGATATTGTTAACGTCTCTGGACTTTATGACAATGCACCAGCACTCTTTCGTGCGTCTGTTGGCGAATCCGAAAATTATAAGGGGGACATTGACTGGCAGACCTACCGTAAATTGGTCAAAGATACATTTTACCTCGTCAACAAGAAGAGTGATTCAGCTGTTGCATTTATCGATGGTTTTCCAGAATTTGTTCGGAAGCCAGGAAATCCATTCAAGTTTAAAGTGTTTCGTGAAAGTTTGGCTACTCGTAATATTACATCTGTGGTACCTCCCGAGATGCATGAGTCTGAAACGCAGTCTGTGATGAACCCTTGCCCCCCTTCTATTACCGTAACAAATGATGGCATATCTCTGACCATTGTTCATGAACTTTCCGAAACAAGGGACAGATTTCCCCTTTTTCGCGGTTCAGTCAATATCACTCTTCTAACGTTACAAATGCTATCTTCTAAAGCGAGGATTATGAACACATCAAACATTTTGGCGCTGTACTTTGATGCTCAGACAAACCAATGGTAAGAAGTTTTCTTTCCCTGGGTTCTTAAGATGCGTATGGTTTCCCCGCTTTACTCATCTTCATATTCCCTCCAGCAATTGTTTATTTATTTTACCTTTCGCTCTGGTGGAGTAGGCGGGAATTTATTCATCCAGTTGAAGTTAGTGCTTTCTACCGTTCAACCTTTCAGACCCAGGATCTTGAAAATACTACGGACAAAGTACCTACCCATATTTACTGCAGAATTGGAAAGGTACTCTAAGCTTCTTACTGCATTTTCCATGAAGTCTTGGAGCTATATAACTCGTTACATATTTTTCCCCTCGCATGTGCAGTTGGAGGTCCTTGTAACCGAACTGTCGTTGGATATGCTTCTTTTTGTGCTTGGAAAACTGGAGTTGGCTGGTCCATTTTCTGTAAAAACCTCCGGTATTCTTGCCAATTGTTGTAAGGTTATTGTTTCCTCGATTCTGTGCAGTGATTTTGTAGTTTTATACCCTTTTCCTTGATATACACCCGTTCTATGGAGGAACCAATAATTTTTTTTGTCCTTTTTCAGATAGAAAACCTCTCTGGCCTTGACCTTACCTGCCGTTTCAACGAGAAACAGACTGCCACAGTTGGTAGGAGGCAAATTGCTTCGGTTTTTCTTAGGTAATTCCTTAGTCACTAAATGCCTTGTTTTATTCTGCAACAAGAAGATGCATGTGTTTCTGATCCGTGGTGAACGATTAGTCTTTGGTGCTCTCTTGACCGTATTACTGAAATAATTTTATTTCCCATGTTTCCGCTTAGTGTATTGTACTTTGCACACTTCTTTTTACCCATAAGGTGCAAAAATAAAGTACTAAATTAAGAATAATCTTTTGAACTAACTGAGAGTGTTGAAGCACGTTCACTTCTGTATAGAAGATTTGCATAAAAAAGTGGACAGCAGATCCTTACTCATGTGTAATGTCTTTCAAAGGCATTCAATGAACCATCTAGCAGACGCTTCTTCAGTGGCTGCGGTCCAGCTGTCTTCTGGAAATTTCAGAACTTCTTCTATTAACGTTTCTTTATTAGAAGCCAGAACACTAGCTTGGAGAACAAGAATAGTATCACTTCAAGGTACTTTGATGCTTTTCACAGCTTTCTGTTCATGCGTTTTCTATCTGAATAAGCATATGTTGCGAATGCTGAACTTTATATGTTTTATAGATTCAAGGAGTCATCCTGGACCGTTTGTTGTTGTTGATATTAAGAAGGGATTTGAGGTATGTCGTATGCTGATACTCAAGGTTTTCCATAAGATCATTTAATGTCAAGCGATGGAAGCAATTTTTCCCTTATATTTTGCATTTGACTATAATCTGTAGGATGGTTTATCGATCTCAGTTTCTCCTTTGACAAGGATTTATAACGAAACTAGTCTTCCGATGGAGATACGTTTCCAACGATCTAAGCAGAAGAGAGATGTTTTTGCGTCTGTACCTCTGAAGCCTGGTGGTTCAATTGATGATTCAGTGGCAGCATTTAATGCCATAAGCTTATCGGGAGATCTGAAGAAGGCATTGACATCCTTAGCTGTTGGTAGGTTTTACTGGTAGAATTTTGGTTTCTTTCTACGATATTCATAACTTGAAATTTCGAGTAAGGCTGAAATGTCCCCTCATCACAATAACTTAAGAAACAAGGTTTCCATCAATTGCGTTTTTTTTTTCGTTTGGAATGACTTTAAGTCTATATAGTTCTCTGCTTTAGTTCGGCAGGTAATATCAATAGTCTAGTTTCTCTTAGGAGACAGGATGATCGACCACAGTGATTGTTAATAGAAGTATTCTGATTGGTTTCACAAACTAAATGGCAGGTAATTTTTCACTCTCGTTCAGACCTGAATCTTTGAAAATTTTGTGTGAGAGTGAGAAGTCGCTGGCAAGTGAATGGTCTGAAGAAGTTGAAGGAGGCAAGGCGGTACGCCTAACCGGAATTTTTGATAAATTAAGTTATGGAGTTAAAAGGGCTTTATCTATCAAATCAGTGAAGGTCTCCTTGACTACTACATATTGCTCTGTCACATCTGAAAGTGAGTGTGTTGGCAAGGTGCATTTTCTGATCCATAGCATTGGGAGGGAAGTATCTATCATACGGCCTGATGCATCCTCCGATGTGTTTGAGAAACGGAATGCATGTATTGCATTGCGAGAGCAGAAGGAAATTTTTCTTTTGCCCACCGTGCAGGTGTCCAACTTCCTGTCCTCCGAAGCAGCCATTTTTTTGACAGAGACTGGTAACTGCAGAAAAGTATGTGCTTTTCGGGTAACCTATATGTCTGCATCTAACATTATTATCTCGCTTGCAGATGACTTCACCTCGATGGAGAGACACAGCATTGGCAAGCATGCAAGGGTACAGAGCGGAAAGACAATGGATTTCTATGCTAACCCTGACATGATATACTTTAGAGTTACTCTCACTGCTTCCCAAGCGAGCTGCAAACCAGTCAATAGTGGTCAGTGGGTTAAGAAGTTACAGAAACAGAAGAATGATGCAGAATCTTTGGATGTTGGTCTTGATTTTGCCGGTGGAAAATACTGTGCTTCCTTGAGATTGTCTTTAGGGAAAAGAGGCATACTGGAGGTCGTGATTTTATCTTGAATTCTGTTTCCTTCCCGATTGCTTTAACTTAAAAATATATATTTCTGGTTGGTGCAGGCAGCTGTTTTCACGTCTTACATTCTTAAAAACGACTCAGACTGCACCTTGTTCTTCTATCCCCCTGATCAAAAGCCACTATCCAGGTACATGAAATATGAATAAAAATATCTTTCAACCTGGTGATGGTTTTTTACATGAAATATGAATAAAAATATCTTTCAACCTGGTGATGGTTATTTACATGTAACGTATACAAATGCAGGGAAGATCAGGAAAAACTTGATCACATTGTCCCCCCTGAGTTTGGATTGTATTTACCCCGAAAGACAGAAGGGTCGTGGTTTTTAAGGTAAGACATCCGTGCTCAGTACATATTTTCACTCAATATCTTCTTATAAACCACTGCAACACCTTGTTTGGCCAGATCTCGCAAGGTTAGTGTTATATTGGCTGATGGTCCTGGGGCAACTGAAGCAGTGTTGGATTTGGATTCTTTATCAGGACTTACAGAGATTAGTTTGGGAACAAAAGATGAGTCTGGATTTCGGTATATAACTAGGTTTGGATTGTCGGTTAAATCAATCTCAAGTAAAATGCTTGTTCCATCACGGATTGTGACTTTTGTTCCGAGACATCTTGTAATCAATGAATCGGAAGAGGCCATCAACATCCGCCAACGCCATTTTCAGGTTCTTTTTGTGTCCTTTTTATATATTCGCTTTCATCTCGGTAACATGATTTATTTACTTTTATTTCTATCATTTTTGGTTTTCTGTGAAGGATGACTCTGTAGGCATAATCACCATCAAAAGTAAGCAGAGATTAGCCTTGCGATTGCAAGAAGAAACTACACAGAAGAAAGAACTTCATCTGTTCGAAAATTTTATCAGAAAGCACGGAAGTGACAATGCAAATCCATTGACATTCATTCAGTTTCGGTTGAACAAGGCAAACTGGAGTTGGTCAGGCCCATTATGCATCACTTCAATTGGATGTTTTTTCCTCAAGTTCAGGAAGCAGTCAGGTGAAACAGGCAGAGGCGCAATTGAATTTGCATCTGTAAATGTTACTGAAGAAGGTTCAACTCTTGCTGTGCGCTTCCAGAAACCACCAAATGCCTCACCACCATATCGAATTGAGAATCTCTTGTCTGCATCTCTCACTTACTACCAAAAGGTTGGCCACATCCTACTTATTGTCATTGCTACATGTCTTTTGAATTTATGTGCATCATACAGTGCCCGTTGCTTGTTAATTCCAGGATTCATCAGAGATTGAAGTACTTGGACCTGGAAGTGGGGCTGATTATGCATGGGATGATCTGACCCTTCCTCACAAGCTTGTAGTTATAGTAGATGGTACTAGTTGACGTTCAACTTTTATTTCTGCTTATACATCATCAACCTCCATAACATTTTAGATTTACTAGAAACAAAAAAATTTGACACTTCCATGCTGAGCATTCATAGGTATTTGATGACCAAAAAGCTGGATTTTTTTTTTTTTTTCAGGCATGATACCTCTGCGTGAAGTCAGCTTAGATAAGGTCCGTCCATGGAAACCCCTTTTCAAGGCAACTCAACATAGAAGCATAGCCTCTCACTTAATGTTGGAAAAGAAGGCCAAAGATCATAAAACGGCCTACGAGCAATTGAGTAGTATACCGATGGTAAAGGTCGGATATGAAGTATATGCAGATGGTCTGACCCGAGTCATTCGCATTTGTGAAGTTTCAAAAAGCCTTAAAGAAGACTCAGTATTTCTTTCTCGTTCTAAAATTCAATTCCGGATAACCCATTTAGGAATTCACTTACTTGAAAAAGTGAAGCAAGTAAGTCTGTACTGTACTTCTCTCTTTGGCACCATCATATCTATATTATATAGCTATTCATGCATAAGTTTGTATCGAACTCTTTGCCTCATATTGATTCTGTGTTAAAAAATTTATGCAGACTGAAGAGGAGAAAACTGTCATGTCTTATTCTTCGATCCTAGTGGCAAGACTAGAGAATTTTGGTCTACAATCCATGTTCACTGACAAACAGAAATTTAACCAATTATGTATAGAGGTATACTTTTATGAAGTGCAATTGGTTGGCTTGGTTTTCTGGTTGCAGAAATAAGACCTGGCTTTTGTCTTTGTATACTGCAGGCTCTGAATGTGGATCACAAATGGGCAGGGGCTCCCTTTGCAGCCATGCTTCGTCAACATCAATCAGATTCCAGTGACGGACATGGTTGCCTATTCAAATGTGTATTTGTTCTAGTATCTAGTGGTTCCAGCGTCACACAAGTCAAGCACTCCTCATTAGTTTTGCAGGTATCAAGGCGGTTACTGTGTCACTTTCTTCAAAAATTTCCTTACCTTTTTCTCTTCACCCTGCCTAAATGAATAAGCAGGAAATAGAACAGCCAGAGTCAACTTCTGACTCTTCAAGTATTGGTTGTATTACATATATGCCTGTTTGTGCCGCTTGATTCAGTTTCCTTATGTCTTACTTGCAGCCAGTCAATTTGAACCTAGACGAAGAGACTTTGATGAGAGTTGTGGCATTTTGGAGAACATCTCTCAGTACAAATACGCAAAGTAGTCAATATTATTTTGATAACTTTGAAATTCACCCAGTAAAGGTTTGCTCTAACAGCTGTTCTAATCGTTTCGTTTTCAGTTTCTACTCTATGCTGTGTTTAAAATTATATATCCGTTTCTCATCTTTTCAATTAGATAATTGCTAATTTTGTTCCTGGGAGCTCATTCTCCAGCTATAATTCCGCTCAAGACACTCTGAGGTCATTGCTGCATAGTGTTGTTAAGGTATTCGCATAAAAAAAATTGCATATCTTAGTAATATGCTGGTTTGCGTGTATCCCACATGCAAATCATTTTTTCATGAGCCAATGCTTGTTCGGTTCTTTGTTTTTTATAGGTTCCACAGATAAAAAATATGGTTGTAGAGCTAAATGGTGTACTGGTCACTCATGCTTTGATAACGGTTCGCGAGCTACTTCTCCGATGTGTAAAACATTACTCATGGTATCATCTTTTGCTTGTATTTCCGAAGTACCTTCGCCTATGCGTTTAGATATTATTAACTTGGGTAACTGCTGTCTAGGTATGCAATGAGAGCAATCTACATCGCAAAGGGCAGTCCATTGCTTCCGCCAGCTTTCGCGTCCATGTTTGATGATTTTGCATCATCCTCTCTTGATGCCTTTTTTGATCCTTCTCGAGGCTTGGTGAACGTCCCTGGTTTGACAGTGGGTAAGCGATGAGAATTTCTGGTATCATTTAACTTCATTTTTGGCTACTATATGCATCATATCTCAATTGATGTGGAAATATCGTTTGGTTATATCTGTTGTAGGCACCTTCAAACTCCTCAGCAAATTTATTGACAACAAGGGATTGTCAGGGACAAGGCGTTACTTTGGTGATCTTGGGAAAACAGTACGTACCATATAGTATATTGATCATGAATTTTCCTTTTTTTTTTCATTAAACCTTTAATGAACTACCATGTTGCAGCTAAGAACAGCAGGATCCAATGTCATCTTCGTTGCTCTCACTGAAATCTCAGACTCTGTTCTGAGGGGTGCAGAAATGAAAGGTCTTGATGGACTGGTGAGGACTTATCTCCTTTCTTACTGATGATCAGTTTGGCTTATATTTCATTACCAACATGGTCTTTTTTTGTCATCTCTCTGTCTCTTCTCACAGGTTAGCGGTTTCCACCATGGAATCCTTAAACTGGCGATGGAACCTTCGGTGATAGGAACGGCTTTGATGGAAGGCGGGCCTGATAGAACAATTAAGCTTGATCGTAGTCCCGGTATTGATGAGGTGATATCTCACAGCCTTGTCTTATACTTTCAAATTAACTTTTGTTTTCATTTCTATAGAGTAGAAAAGAAACCGAAAAAACCCGACGCATAGAGCTTTTTACAATCACAATCACGGCTTCCTTTACTAATATCTTCGAATATTTAGAATCATTGTCGCACATTCTTCTGTAATTTAGTCATGTATGCTCATATTCACTCCTTGCAGTTATACATCGAAGGATACCTTCAAGCTATGTTGGATACAATGTATAGACAAGAGTATCTCAGAGTCAAAGTCATTGACGATCAGGTAAACAGTCGCAAAAGCAATATTTCTGTAACTTACATTTGCTTTTCCCATTTCCAAAAAAAAAACAAACAGAAACCAGTTTTTATACCAACCAGAAATCATAACATTCCTATTTCCCTCACTAACTAAACATATTCATTTATAGGTCTTCCTGAAAAACCTCCCACCAAGCAATTCTCTCATAGATGAGATGATAGACCGTGTTAAAGATTTTCTGGAAAGCAGGGGATTGCTCAAAGGAGATCCTTCGAGCTCTCGTCCTCGTCGCCGTCTTCATGGAGATAAGGTTTAAACTCAAATTCTTTTTTTTTCGCTGCTTGAGTAGCTATCGGACTTTGGGGTTTGTGCTCTTGTGTTTAACGTTGATGGGACCCTGAGTGATGTGAATATCTCAATATGATCAGGAATGGAGGATCGGACCAACGTTGAGGACGTTATGTGAACATCTCTTCGTGAGCTTTGCAATTCGCATACTCAAACAGCATGCGACTAAGGCCATTTCAGGTCTAAGGCCAAAGATAGAAGAAACAGAGTCTGAGCGTAATGACGCTGGTTCCAGTACTGCAATCATACCTGCACTTGATGCCAAGAAGAAGAAGAAGATGAAATTCATGTGGAAAGCTGGTATTGGCAATTTCGTGGCTTCAGGTATCGTCGCTTACATCGACGGACGTTTGTGTCGACAGATTCCAAATCCAATAGCTCGTCGGATCGTGAGTGGGTTTCTCTTAAGTTTTCTTGACAAAAGCACTGAACAATAATAACTACTTTTTCCTGTAAATAAATCTTCTTCTTTACAGTAGAAGCATGATTGAATCAATAAATCACCTTACATAATGAAAGTAATAATGCTCCCCTTACGTTTATTCTCCACATCTCTGTAACATTCACCAGAAAATATAAGAAAAGAAGAAAGAGTCTTCTTTGATTAAGACACGCAATTAGTCAAAGGAATAAAAAGGACTCTAGACTTCTGATTCTTCAACAAAGGACGATCCTGATTTCGAAATCTTCCGCGACCAAAACGCTAACGCAATGTCAATCATAATCGCTATTGCAATTACAATCACAAACGCAAATCACATCCTCGATTTCACAAAAAAATCTATTATTCATCGCAATGTGATAAATGGGCCAGGATTATTAATGGGTTTTTCGAGACTTGCTCCCCAAGCTACATGTATTTGTTGAACAGAGCAGAAAAAAGGAAATTTCGTGACCGAACTCGAACAATAAAGGAAATCAACGGATAGATTTCTCGTAATTTCGTTTTTCCGAAACCCAATCCCATCTAAGATATACATAACCTAGTAGTGGCCTCCTCTCTCACTCGCATCACTCCTCATATTTCCCTCTCTCTCTCTACTAGTTCTTTTTCTCCATAATCTCTCTTTCTCTGCGTTTGTTCGATCTCAAAAACAAAACAACGATGGCTTTCTCCGATGATCTTCCACCACAAATCACGAAAGGTGCGAAGAGAAGAAGCAGAAAAAGAAGAATGATGAAAAGCAAAGACCTTAAGGAGGTGATTAGCTTGGCCACAAGAAACGCTCATGTCGCAAGGGACAAAGGGTTTTACATCGCCTCTCCTGAGGCCATACAATGCGTCGAGATCCTCAGACTTCTGCGAAGCTTGCCTCTTTCTCCTCGTCTCATCATCAAAACCGACTCCTTTCGCGCTGTTCAATTCCTCGCCACCAATGGTAACCCTAAAATCCGGTCCGAGTCGAGAGCCGTTGTTAGTCACTGGAAGGCCATTCTTGCGAACAAAAAAACAACTAATTGATCAGGGTTTTGCTTGGACAACGAGAGGACGACGGAGATTTCTCAACATCGATCGGATGAGTATAAAAAGTAGGGTTTATATCTTCATTGTGTTCAACAAAATTTGTAACGAATTCTCATAAATAGCAAAGTAATAATATTTCTTTCTTTTTTTGCTCTTGTCTACTTCAAATTTTATCATGTTGGAATCAAAAACTGCACAAGAACCAAATTGATCGTTACTGAAAAAGTCTAAAAGAAAGTCTTGTATGACTGAAGGCAGAGAATTGGGTCAAATTGAGAACTATGGGCTAAAAAGGAGATGATTATCTAATATTGGGTCAAAAATAAAAAAGGGCAAAACTTGTCCTAGTTTATCTCTCGTGCCTCTCAGCTTGGCGATTTTTTTCTTTCTGTTTTGCTGTATTTTTTTTTGTATTTTTTTTTTGTTTTATCTCCGACAAAGAGGCAGTAGTAGAGGTAGGGCTTTCTCTCCGACGATTCGAGTAACCCTCGCGCTTCGTCGTCTCACCGCAGCGCACGTTAGCCCACCATCATCGTCGTTTATCATACGCCCACCACTGCCGGAGGTAATCGTGCGCTTCGTAGTCGCCGTTTTGAGCTGATTTAAAGGGAAACCCTAATTCGTCGATTCCATCAAACTCTGATTTCTTCTTAGCTCCGCGTTTGTTCGACGCTGGGTTATCAAGGATCGAATCTGGAATTGACTGTTGTTTTTGTTGTTTTGATCAGGGGAGATTCTTCGATCATTTTCCAATTTTGATCAATTCGTCACTGTAGTAGATCTGAAAGGGAATAGACTGCCGGCGAATTTGACTGGGGAACCAGATCTAGTTTTAGGGTTTGATGCGTTGGCGATGTTCAGTGATCGGCGGAAGCGGGATATGGCCAATCATGGAGAAGGAAACAAGTACGCGTCTGTGAATCTGAACAAGTCTTATGGGTATAATCAGTATAATCAATCTGGAGGTTATGGGGCAAACCGTGGGAGAGGCGGTGGCTATGGCGGTGGTGGTGGAGGAGGGAGTATGGTGGTCCTTTCACGGCCAAGAAGCTCGCAGAATGCTGGGCAGAAGCTATCTGTTCCACCCCCCTTGAACCTTCCTTCACTCCGTAAGGAGCATGAGCGAGTCGATTCATCTGGTTCGAGCTTTCATTCCGGCGGAGGAATCTCCGGGAGTGGAGCGAGACCTGCTTCGTCCGGAATGGGATGGAGTAAGCCTGCCGCTACAGCTGCTTTGCAAGAAGGCGATGGTGCCAACCATGGTGCTGAAGGTGTTACCAGGGGGAGCAATGGGTTGAATATGCCCCATGCGTCTCGCGCCGGTGCAGCGGAACCGTTGGTTCGGGCTTACCATCCTGTGGAGAAAGTTGCAACTTTGAGGGGTGAAGACTTCCCGTCGCTGAAGGCTTCTCTGCCTTCAGCTTCTGTGTCTGGGCAGAAACAGAAGGAGGGTCTGAGTCAGAAACAGAAGCAAGCTTCAGGTGAAGAGTTTTCTAAAGAGCCGAGAGGTGTTTCTGGTGTGGCTAGTTCACTTGTAGATATGAGACCTCAAAACCAGTCTGGGCGTAGCCGTCTCGGCAATGAGCTCAGCGAGGGTTCGAGTTTCCCAGATGGTTTACATTCATCTGAACAGGGGAGGAAGAAGGATTATTTTCCAGGGCCACTGCCGATTGTTCGTTTGACCCCACGATCTGATTGGGCTGATGATGAGCGTGACACTAGCCATGGCTTAAGAGATAGGGACAGGGATCATGGCTATTCAAAGAATGAGCCGTATTGGGATAGGGGTTTTGATCTTCCAAGGACTCATGTCTTGCCTCAGAAGCATGCTGCTCCTAATTTTGACAAACCAGGACAGCGTGAAAATGATATTGCGAAATCCTCTTCGACTCAAGCGAGACCACTCAGTGGAGGAGGAAGGGAGGCCAATGTTTGGAGAGTATCTGCACCGATCCAAAATGAAGTTGCAAATAATAATAAAAGTATTTATGGTGCAAGGCCGTCTAGTAGAGGCAGAGAAGCTGTTAAGAAAAGTAACTACGTCTTGTCAGCATCAAGGGAAAATGTTTGGAATAATACTGGAGCTAGAGAGGCTCCATATCAACATGGAGGAAGACAACCATGGAATAATAATAATAATATGGATAACTCCAGCAACAGGGGAAATTTTAACCGGGATGGGTATGGAGTTGATCTTCATAATAGGTATGGAGCTAACTCGTTCCAGTATGGCTCTTCTTTTTGAGGCCTGTTTACTTCTTGTGACAAGATTTTGTTAATTAATGATCTCAATATTTACTTCTGGCAGGGATAAACGCTCCTTTTTTAAGAGTGACAAACCTCATGTGGAAGATGCTTTTATGAAAGACTTTGGCGACTCTGGTTTTGATGTCCATGATCCATTCCCAGTACTTGGTGTTGCTAAGAAGAAGAAAGAGGCTTTGAAACAAATAGAGTTTCATGATCCTGTCCGGGAGTCGTTTGAGGCTGAACTTGAGCGTGTTCAAAAGATGCAGGAAGAGGAACGCAGGCGGATCATCGAGGAACAGGAAAGGGTGATTGAACTAGCTCGGACAGAAGAAGAAGAGAGACTGCGGCTGGCTCGAGAACAAGATGAGCGGCAGAGAAGATTAGAAGAAGAGGCCAGAGAAGCTGCTTTCAGAAACGAGCAGGAGAGAGTAGAGGCTTCAAGGAGGGCAGAAGAGTTGAGAAAGTCAAAAGAAGAGGAGAAACACAAGTTGATCATGGAGGAAGAAAGGAGGAAGCAAGCTGCTAAGCAAAAGCTTCTCGAGTTGGAAGAAAGGATTTCCAGGAGACAGGCGGAAGCTGCCAAAGGCTGCAGCAGCTCTTCAACTGTTTCAGAGGATAAATTCGTAGATATTGTTAAAGAGAAAGAGCCTGCAGATGTTGATTGGGAAGACAGCGAAAGGATGGTGGATAGAATCACTACGTCATCGGCTTTGGATGTGTCAGTATCCACTAGATCATTTGAGAGCAATGCCGCACCTCAATTTTCTAGAGATGGTTCGTTTGGGTTCCCTGATAGACAAAAGCCAACTTGGAGAAAGGAAGATATTGAGAGTGGAGGCAATTCGAGGTTTATTCCGCAAAACATGGAGAACGTTCCACATAGCCCACAAAGAGATGCAGGTGGAGGTTTTCCCAAGGAGGAGTTCTTCGGGACAACTGGATATCTCAATGCCACTTCCTACTTCAAACCAGGATTCCCAGAGCATTCAGTTGATCAGAGCTGGAGAATTCCTGGAGATGGAAGGCCCTATGGTAGGAATTATGGGATGGAAGCTGAATCTCGTGAAAGTTTTGGAGAGCAATATGGTGATCCTGGATGGGGACAAAGCCAGGGCCGTGCACGCCGTGGTCCATACGCTCCTTATCCTGAAAAGTTGTATCAGAATCCTGAGGGGGATGACTATTACCCTTTTGGAAGACCTAGGTATTCGGTAAGGCAGCCACGTGTTCTTCCCCCACCTCAGGAGTCTAGGCAGAAGCCGTCCTTTAGAAGCGAGGTTGAGCATCCTGGTCCCTCAACTTCTGTTGGAGGGATGAAGTATAACCATACAGATGGGACTAATTCGACTGTTCTAGCCAGTTATATTGGGGATCATCAAGATCATCATGTGATGTCGGGACGTGGTATGGATGATCATCGGTTCGATAGCAAGCTGACTGGAAGATGTGACTCTCAGTCTTCACTTTCTGTTACCAGCCCACCTGATTCCCCTGTTCTTCTGTCTCATGATGACTTGGATGAATCAGCAGATTCATCTGTCTTAGCTGCGTCCAGAAAGGGAGAAGATACTAATTTATTAGAGAAGGGGGGAGCGCCAATTATCTCTAGTGATGCTGGAAAGGATAGTTTGATGATTGCTACAAGCTCTGTATCTTGTTGGGATAATGAAGAGTGGACTCTTGACAGTAATGAACGTTTGCAGGAACAAGAAGAATACGACGAAGATGAAGATGGATATCAAGAGGAGGAAAAAATACACGGGGTTGATGAGAACATAGATCTAGCCCAAGAGTTGGAAGAAATGCATCTCCAGGATAAAGACTCTAACCTAGTCTTAGGCTTTAATGAAGGAGTGGAGGTTGAAATACCCAGCGATGACTTCGAAAAATGTCAACAGAGCTCCGAAGCAGCATTTCCTCTTCCCCAGCACTCAGTCAATTCCTTAGATGGTGAAAGACCTATTGAGACAAGCCGTGGTGAACAAGCCGCCCAACCTGTTGAAATTTCTGATTCAGTGAGCAGGCATAATACATCTGAGAGCTTCCAGGATACTGAAACCACAATGCAGAACTTGACAATCCAGCCAAACAATGGTCGGCAGTCATTTGATTTGGCCAATAAAGTGGACTCCGCGAGAAACTCTGCAGTCTCTACTCATCCTGTCGCACCACCTCACAGCATTGGTCTGCTGCATCCATCACCTCTTCACACAGTTATGCCACCTGTACCTTCTGCTTCGGCACAGATGGAGGAGCCTGTTAAGTTGCAGTTTGGCTTGTTTTCTGGTCCGTCGCTGATACCTTCTCCTTTCCCTGCCATACAGATTGGTTCCATCCAAATGCCTCTTCCTCTTCATCCCCAATTTGGCTCCTCGCTTAGACATATCCAACAGCCTCAGTCTCCTATCATTCAGTTTGGTCAACTACGATATACATCCCCAATATCCCAAGGGGTGCTGCCACCGCCACCTCATTCACTTGTCCAGGCGAATGCTTTATCAACTTATGCTTTAAATCAAACTCCTGGATCCTTGGCGACTGTTCAGCTTGGTCAAGGAAATTCAGCTAATCTAGTAGCTAGAAATGCAGCAGCCGCTGTCTCAAACCCTCAGATCAGTGTGCTTAGGAGACCAATGGATGTTTCTGATGGGGGCAAACTGAAGAATGCTAATATCACTCCAGCAAGAGCGACCAGTGAGGTTGCTGTGTCACATCAAAAGCAAGGAGAGTTGTCTGGTAGGTCGGAATTACCTTCTGGAAAAATGAGTCATGGAAAATCAAATTTAGCTGAAAGACAATCAGGATTTCAAGGCCAGACTGACACAACTGCTGTCAGAAATTCTGGCTTGCACTCATCGGGCACAGCTGAGGGTTCTCGGGCAGATTCTGGTAGTTATAGAAGATATCGGCGTCAGAAGGTTGAATTTAGAGTTCGGGAATCAAACTGGCCATCTTCGGAGGAGAACCGAAATGGCAATGGAAGGGCACAAAATTTCACGAAAACCGGGAGTAGAAAGTATGTTGTTTCTAATAAGTCCCAGAATCAAGCCTCAGATAGCTCAGTGTCTGGTTTGAATGCTCTGCAGAAATCCAATACTGGGGGTTCATTTGAGAGTAGACCAGGGAAAGATACTGTCATGAAGAATCCACTCATTCCAAATTCTGGACAGGCAAACCTTAAAAGGAATATGTTATCTGAAAATGAAATTGATGCACCTTTACAGAGTGGAATCGTTCGTGTCTTCGAGCAACGTGGCATTGAAACTCCTAGTGATGATGATGATTTTATTGAGGTAAGATCAAAAAGGCAAATGCTTAATGATCGTCGAGAACAGAGAGAAAAAGAAATCAAGGAAAAGTCCCAAGCATCCAAGGTTCTGATGCAATCTAATACCTCTACTCTACTTGTAAATTGTCACCTAGTTTTCTCACTAAAAGTGACTTTTTTATATATTTGGCAGGCGTCCCGAAAACCCCGTTCAACTTTGCAGAACAGTACTGCTGCAGCCAGGTCCAACAGAAGCCCACCAGCTAGCCGAGTTGCGAACAACAAGCAGTTTAATCCCGTCTCCAACAGACATCTGTTAGCCCCAATTGGCACACCTTCACCTAAAACAGTGTCCCATGCTGATGAAAAATCTGGGAGCAGCAAGTACTTTCCTCTATTTGTTCAATTGAAACGCTTTTAAGTGTGTTCATAGTGGTTGCTCCACTCTGTTTATGTTTATGTTTTTTTTACCTTCTATTTCATTTGGCAGGACCGCTCAGGCAAGTAGTGTGCTTCCAGTTGTACCTAGAAATGATCAGAATCCAGCGTCAAGTTTAGTATTCAGCAACAATAATAAGGTTCTGGATAATATTCAAACGTCTGTGGGGACTTGGGGCAACCAACTCACTGATCAGCCGGTGAGTAGATATTGTTCGAGGTTTCATTAACTTGTTTTGACTTTGGGTTCATGTTTCTGCAAAAATCAGAAACAGACCTTTAACAAAATATGTTTCTGCAAAATTCATGCATTTCCCTTAACACGCCGTATTCCATGCCGCATGTCATACTTCCTGTATATAAATTGATAGAATGGTATACTGAATACATGAAGCTGTAAGAATTTGTGACAGAAAAATCATCTCGGATAAATTTTCAAAATTGTTTTTGACTCATGCTTTACTAGCCACGGATAGGTCTATGCAGTTATTTAAAGTATTTATGATGTTACCTTGTAGGTTATGGCCCTAACCCAGAGTCAGCTTGATGAAGCCATGAAACCCGTATCTCTTCTTTCATGTGTTTCTGTTGAGAATGGTCACAACCGAATTAGCGGGCCAAATCCGAAGTCAGCGTCTGTCGTGCTAAAGAGCAATACTTTTCCAAGCGACGCAAGCCCAATAAACTCATTGCTTGCCGAAGGCAAAATCCAATTTGGTGAGCTGATTTGCCTAGACACGTCGATTGTCACTTTGAAGTGGCTCTTCTTTGCATTTAATTGATGCATATTTTTGTTCTTCATCAGGCGCAGTTACTTCTTCCACTGTTATCCCTCTCGGTGGTGCGCGTACGGAGAACGATAGCTCTTTATATTTTGAAAAGGATAGTAAACATCGAAACACTTCATCCACTGGCTTGGAGATTTGTGAAGCAGAAGCAGAAGCCGCTGCTTCAGCGATTGCTGTTGCAGCCATAACTAATGATGAAACCGGTGGGAATGCCTTGGGTACTGGCTCTGTCTTACCTGCTGAAACCAAAATTTACGGAGCAACAGAGTTAGATGGTGGAGCAGCAAGTGGTAATATATATATATATACTTTCTGTCTGGTTTTATGCATATTCCCAAATGGTTGGTTGTTGTCTGAAACCATATCTTTCGCTTTGGCAGGCACTGTTGGTGGGCAGCCCAGTCTATCAAAAGCTGAAGAGTCACTCATTGTTTCTCTCCCAGCAGATCTTTCAGTGGACACCCCAATCTCTCTGTGGCCACCGTTACCAAGTCCACACAACTCAAACCAAATGATCACTCATTTTCCTCCAGGCCCTCCTCATTTCCCTTTCTATGATGTGAACCCCATGTTAAGAGGACCAATCTTTGCTTTTGGCCCGCACCATGACGCGGGAGCAAACCAACAACAGCCCCAGAAAGGTCCAGGGACTGTTTCTGGTCCACCTACGACGTGGCAGCAGCAGGGTCATTCAGGAGTAGATTCCTTCTACGCTCCTCCTGCGGGTTTCACTGGTCCTTTCCTAACCCCACCTGGTGCTATTCCTGGCGTTCAAGGCCCTCCTCACATGTTCGTTTATAACCACTTCGCACCTCTTGGACAGTATGGAGGGGTGAGTTTCATGGGGACTACTTACATCCCAACTGGAAAACAGCCGGATTGGAAACACAACCCAATCGTGTCTTCTTCTCCGGTTGGAGCAGATGGTGATGCAAACAATCCTAATATGGCCTCCATGCAATGTAACATCGTGCCTGCGTCTCTTCAGCACCTCCCTATGCCTTCTCCTCTTGCCATGTTTGACCCGTCCCCTTTCCAGGTACTTGATCCATCTCTCTCTCTCTCTCTTAGTCATCTCAACACTGCTCAAGTGATAGAATCCATGAACTTGATTTTTTTTGTTTTATCGGTGTGCTCAGAACTCTTCTCAGGAGATGCCTGTTCGAGCACGGTGGCCTTACATGCCATTTTCGGGTCCTCCAACAATGCAAATCCAGAAACAGCAGGAAGCAGTAGATGGCTCCAATCTTGCATCATCTCAGTTCAACAACAACATGCTTCCTCCTCCTCCCAACAGATATCCCAACATCCAAACATCCACAGTCGGAGATGCAATAGTGGACTCCTCGAACTCTTACGGTCCCACCACTTCCGTTTCACCGCCAAAGCCGACCACCACCTTGTCTGATCCCAACACCAGTAACACTCAGAATCCAACTGGTCCTGCCTTGAAGCCGCCACAGCATCAGCAACAGCAACAACAATCCTCCCATGAGAAGAACACGCCGTCTCAGCATGTTGGTGGCTCAAGCCACCACCATCAACACCAGCAACACCAGCATAACCGGAGGCCGGGCTTCCATGGGAGAAACCAGCCCATGGGTAGAGAGAGAGGCTTCCAAAACAACACAAAGGTGAAGCAGATTTATGTGGCTAAGCAGACTTGTAACAGCAACGCCTCTGCTTCCTCTACCGCAACCACTTCGACGACGCCTTCAACATGATTCTTCATCATCGTCCAGGTCTGTTAAGATATAAACACATTCAAATAACCCAAAGCAGCTTCGGCTTCATAAGGAGGAGATGTGGATTTTGTTTTCAGTTTTTCCCATAAAATCCATTAGCCTTTTTTATTACCCCTCTTTTCCCCTTCTTTTTTTTATTGTCAATTAGATAAAATTAGATTCCCTCTCTTTACTGGTTTGGGGGTTTTCATTATATGCGAGGACTTTGGTATATGATTTGTTAGCTTATAAAATATGTTTGGGTGAAAACATTTTCCCGTGAGGTTTTCGGTGTAGCCACCGTTGGATACCCAATTCACGGTTCCAATGTTTTCCCCATGCTTTGTATCTGTTGTCAACATTATTATCTTCTTATCTTTTTACAAATCAGCAAACTCTTATTGAATTAATTTTTTTTTTTATGTTTAAATCTATCAAAGGCGTAACTACTTACCGAGTGACTGAATCGTCTAAAGATATACTAGGTATATAATTCGTATTATGTCCGAGTTTACCTAATAGCCCGAGTCTGTATTAATATTTTGATTTATTTGTTTTAGGTACTATCTTTAAAATTATTAAAAATTATACATGAAAATTTTCATTTATATAAGAGAATTTAATATATAATGTGTAATTTATTTTATTTTTATTTATAAATTTTAAAAAACTATTAGATAAAATAATAACAATGACACCTATCGAATTATCCAATTTTGGCGTACATATACATTTAATTTAAAAAAATATAGTCTTGCTAAGATTTTGGTATTATTTTTATAGTTTTTTTTTCTTGAATGTTTATGTATTCAAATATTTAGTTTTTTTTATTGAAAGTCTTGTTGATATTGTGTACCACTGTATATATAATCCATGATTCATGTTGATTCGCATTTAATTTTTTAGGAAGCTGTAATGATCATGAAAAACTATTTTTCCTTCTCCATCATGTCTTTCAAGAGTTTTATATTATATTTTTATTCAGTTTTTATTGTTTTAATTGTTAAATCGAGTTGTTGTAGATTTTTTTTAAATTGATAATTGATAATGGTTACTTTTTTTTATACATGTATTGTTAATTATTAATTTTTTTATTTAACTTTTAAATTTTTAAACCTTATTAACATTTTCAGATTTAATAAATATGTTGATTTGGATCAATCAGATTGAATTTACTTTTTTTGTTGGACATAATTTGTTAAATTAACTTTTAATGTTTTAATTATACTTACTAATTTTGGGTTTCATTTAAAAGCTGATTTGGACAAATTAAATCAAGTTTTTACGTCCTAATCATACTTAACATTTTTTATTTAATGAATATGATGATGTGGACCAATCAGATCGAGTTTTTTAATCATATGTGGACGCCCTCAATGCACTATGCCATCAACTCTTATATATTATATTAGGTATATAACTCGCGCTATGCGCGAATCTATATCAATATTTTGATTTAATTATTTTTAGCTACTATCTTTAAAATTATTAAAAATATAATATATTTATAGAATTTTTCATTTATATAAGAGAATTTAATATATAATGTGTAATTTATCATATTTTTATTTATAAATTTTAAAAAACTATTAGGTAAAATAATAACAATGACACCTATCGAATCATCCAACTCTGACGTACATATATATTTGATTTAGAGAAATATAATTGTGCTAAGAATTTGGTATTATTTTCTGTTTTCCATAGAATTTTTATAGTTCTTTTTTTCTTGAAGGTTTATGCGTTCAAATATTTAGTGTTTTTATTGAAAGTTTTATTGATGTTATGTACCACTGTATATATATTATATGATTCATGTTGATTCGCATTTAATTTTGTTAGGAAGTTGTAATGATCATGCAATACCATTTTTTCTTTCTCCATCATGTCTTCCAAAAGTTTTATGTTATATTTTTATTCAGTTTTCATTATTTTAATTGTTAAATTGAGTTGTTGTAGATTTTTTAAATTGATAATTGATCATAGTTACTTTTTTATACAATACAATGTATTGTTAATTGTTAATTTTTTATTTAACTTTTAAAATTTTAAACCATATTAATATTTTCTGATTTAATAAATATGTTAATTTGGATCAATCAGATTAAATTTACCTTTTTCGATCAACATAATTTATTAAATTAACTTTTAATAATTTTTTGTTTGATTTAAAAACTGATGTGGACCAATTAAATCAAGTTTTTTCGTCTTAATCATACTTAACATTTTTTTTATTTAATGAATATGCTGATGTAGACCTATCAGATCGAGTTTTTTAATCTCATGTGGACGTCCTCAATGTAATATGCTATCAACTTTTAAATATTATATAATGATTTACTGCTGTGAAACGTGACTAACTTCATTCATTGCCGGTTATGTAAGTAATCATTATCTTAGTATGGAAACATCACTTTAAGATAGCAATCTTGAATCAAAAGTTCACATGAAACCCATTCTTTTGAGTAGTAAAAAAAATCTCCAAGATAAGATGGAACGCATCTATTAAAAACTGAAATGATTTATTGACAGATGTAAAACTAGTAACTCTAGATGCCGCATCTCATACTACCCTTCTTTTTATGAATTGATAGAATGGTTTACTGATAGCTGTAAGAACTTGTGACAAAGCAAATCATCGTGGATAAAAATATCAAAAATATCCAAATCGGTGTCGAGTCATGCTCTCTACTAGTAATGTATTAACGCGCCTATGCAAATGCGAATATCGAAAGCCTTTTTTGTATTATGTCAATAACTATAAGCAACCGTGCTGGAGTTGTTGAGTATTGCTAAACATCTGTTAATTGCAGTTTTGGTGATTTATGAAGTCTGTTCCTTCTATGGTCTCAGGTTCCTTGCTTTGAAACTTGGAATGAATCCATGGTTAACTTCATCAGAGGAAAACCTTCATCTTCTGGTACAATATTAACTTTTTGTTGATACTCTATGAAATCGCATCCTAGCCAAATTTTGTCAAGAGTGTTTGTAAACTACGTATTCCAAGCACTAAGTGTATTCCTTTCTTTGGTAAGATATGCTAATCTGCACTTTAGTTTGTATTTAAAATTCTAAATTCATTCTTTGAACATAACATATACGGATATACCGTTAGAAAGCGGCTTAAGTCAATACATGCATTTTATTATTTATCTTTGAAAAAAAGACAGTTAATATAGAAAATTTACGTAAACTTTATCATAAATATCAAACGCTCCTTTACCTTATTAAATTTGTATATTTCAATTAAAAAAAAAACATGAACACACTAATGGGAATGTTTTAGATACAGAAAAATGCATGTTTCTGACTCGAACCACTGTCTATGTATATGTTATGTTCAACGATGTGCTCAGACTCGAGCTATAGCTAAAATGCAGAGCTAAGGTAATTTCAACTTGAGACGAACCTTAATTTAAATCTAAAGTACGTTTAGCTTGAAAAACTTTTTAAGAGAACAGTTTACCTATAAAACATATATATATATATATGCCAAATACATATTCTTTGGCTACCATTTGCTTTATACTTAATGACTTTGATTAGTTCATCTCATTGACAAAGAATATTCTTTGCAAATTGTGCTCTGTTGTCTATATAAAATGATTTATCAAATACAAAGTAACAGAAAATCAAGCAATCAATCAAGTCAGCTATTAATAATGAACAATGACATAATGTAGACAAGTTGGGTCCAATATATACTGATATTTTACTAGTAATTGTGTGTAGAAATTTTACAATGATGAATGGGCCCACGACTATCCCGATCATTTTTTAACAGCCGTTTAAATTAACGCCGTCAACTTTTATCTCGGAGGCGATTGGTTCACGGTGCAAGCCACCACTCTCGCCCACTGCTTCAGCTTCGTCTTCACCGTCTGCGGATCATCGCCTATTTAAACGAAATTTGATAATTAAGTAACGCAGATCGTGTATTGTGTCTATATTATATATATATATAGATGTTTATACATACTGATTCGGTATACGGTGTGGGGACTGGTATCGCCGTCGGAGAGCGAAGAAGACGACGCTGTGGATTTGTTGGAAAGGGCGTCGTTGTAGCTTTTCTGAACGGCGAAGTAGAGTTCCAAGGCGGGAAGCGTGTTCGACAATCTCGGATCGGCGATTTCGGGGGATCCGAATCCGAATCCGAGCTCGAGACTGGCTTTTAGCTCGTCGAGGTCTTCGTCCGTCAAGCTCTTCCCGCGGCGGCGACGGCGGGATACATCCCGGCGCTTCGACCAAGCTTCCTCGCGGATGAGATCCGGCGACCACGAGTGTTGCTTTAGTAGAGAAGTAGACGGCGGCACGTGCAGGCGACGCACTACCCCCGGTGAGGGGGTGTGCGGCGGTGGACGGCGTGTTTCAGGCTCAATGGCTGGTTTTTTGGTAAATAAGTGGAAAGTTTCGGGTGAGTAAGTTAAGGGAGAGAGTAAGGATAGTTGAGGATTTCTTTATAAAGAAGTGAGAAAGAGTGTTTGCCGAGTCAGAAAATTTGGGCCGGCCCAAGTCATTATGACCTGGCATTAAAATATATATTTTGTAATTTACCTGGAATTTAACGAAGCAAAAGCAAAAACAAGTTGTCATTTGCATATAAATACATGGATATTCATCTTTTTATTATAGAAATAAGGACATTCCACGACTGAAAAATCTTAATAGAAAATCTTTTAGTCGATTACTATAATGTATCTGAAATACTCTAGTGGTCAAAATACATTTGGGTTCATGTAGCTAAACGACCTTAAATAACATCCGTCCTTTCGAAAAGAAATAAAAAGAGATTGTTTTAGATTCTAGCAAAACGACGAGGACTCATTCTATGCACTTCTGGCCCAATTAGTTTTCTTATGGCCCAGTAATAGTAATAATATACCCCCTTGCTCATCTTCGATATTTGATTAACCATAACATTTGGTACGTTTAGTTTAATACATGGACTGTTTTATTTTATAGATGATGATACGATTAGTAACGACTAAATAGATTGATTTAGTAGCTCTTGTATAGGGTTTGGCTCCAACGTGTAAATCATTAACTTCGCTTTATAGCCGGTTAAACTAACCGTGCTTAAATGATAGTACTTTACTGCTTGCAGCCTTGCATAGTTGTTGAACCATAAACGGTTCAATTTAGGCAGTGAACCAAACTTAGCAGACTCATTAATTCCGACCTCAAAACATAGTCAAATTCAATGTGAGGGTGTGGAGTGGAGTCGATGATCTTATATATATGCTTGTATATTAGCAAAATGCATAACATAAAAATATGGAGCTGTTGGATGAAAATAGTTCAAATGCAGTTTACAGCTAAACACATTCCAAATGTGTCTAAAGTAATCGTATACATATTAATTTTATCGACTAATACATGTTTCGATTGATATAAAATATTGTTTCGATCATTTCAAAATGTTTAATGAAATTTTGATAGTTACTATTTATAATAATGTTTAGTATGGTCATTATTTAACTTTGTTTTGTTCGTTTGAGTTCGTTTATTCCGCCTAATCTAGAGTCTAAACTAATACTAACATTTATTTTTGTCCATTTTGCATTTTGCATTTTGCATTGTTTCTAACTGTTACCATAGATCCTAAAATTGTACTTTCTATAAAATATGTAACTTTTTTTTTTGATAAAATAAATATGTAACTTTTTAACAAGATTTCACCATATAACTAACTCATTCTTATACTAATGTTTTTTTTTGTTTTGGTTCAAATTTCTTATACTAATGTATATAACCTGTTTTTGACATATTCATACATAATTAGGAACGTACATATACGATAGAATTGTATAATAAAAAAAATCTATACAGCGAATAGATATACGCGGACCTGCAAAATCACTTTGGCGAACCTAAAAAATCAAATCAGAATTGACGAAAATATTAAGACAACAATTGAGAAACTCACTTTATTCCTCACGACCGCACGCACGCACGCTTCTACGATAGTAGGCTTTTATAGCCTTCCTACAATAACCTACCAAGAATCGATTTAAATAAGAGATATAGGAGATATTAACCACACGAGTGCTTATTAATCTATGGATATATAAAAGGAAAAGAAAAAAAGACACATAACTCTGAATGGCTGTATGAAAAGGTGGTAGTGAATCAAGGAATAAAGTTTTTTCAACTTTAAATAGAATGGTCTAAATTAATATTATAGGTTTCGATTAGTAATCCGAGAAAAAAGCAAGAATTGTGTTCTCAAAAAGAGAAAATACAAGAATAACAAGGATGTATTTGTATTTTATAATTTTAAAATGTCATCTTACAAAAACAAAATTCAACAGTCATAACCAAAAGTTTTCACAAAATTATGTGTCTTTCTTTTTCCCTAAGAACAAAATAATTTTGGCAGGCACTATCAAAACTGAAAAACTTAAATAGACCAAACGCATTAATTAAGATAATTATATTTATAATACTATTAACACTCACACAAAAATGTTCGTCTATTCCAATGTTAGCATAGATATTTATATTTTTCTTATTATACAATTGATCAAATATAACAATTTTTAAATATAAACACGATGGATGGTTCCATCTACAACACTATTTGGTCAAAGATATCTAGTTTTCTTATATTTTTTAAATATTTCATTTAACATTTGTTCATTAACGAATTTTTTATGTTTAGAAATGTTTTTACTTGAATACTAATTGCATTCAGGCCACTGAGTGCAATAATTATAACTATATTTGATCAGAACAGGAGTAATGTGTTTTGTTAGTGGTATCTCTGTTTAATTTAGCAACTTGATACACCTGCATATATATTACTACTGTGTCTAGGTGTTCTCATAATTATTCGTGAAGTAGGCTATTGATGTGAAAGCCTGAAAGGTAATTAATAACTAATGAGGTGTTAAGCATATGGGGAGCTTTAAGCCTTTAACCCTCACTGAAATTGTTTAATTATATAACATTTGTATCGCTTGTGATACTTCAGTACTATTGATATATTAATTTATCATTAAGAAAACAAGGCCTTCTTGTGATTTTAGTACTATAATATTTAAAAATGTATTTCCACTCAACTGTGAATTTAATTCAGACTACTAACTGTAATAGTAAGTATATTTGGTAAGAACAGGAGTAGTATATTTTTGGTGTAAATCTGTTTAGTTCTAAATAGCAACTTTATGCATATATATAATACGGCCTGCTTGTTCTGTTAATTATCCGTAAAACAGGTTATTGTGGAAGCACATGGGGGAGGTAGCTTGTAACCCTCTTTAAATTTTTTGGTATATAGAAATGGTTATGATATTTTTGTTATAACAACATAGGCATTCTTTCTGTATTTCGTTATTATATTCGACTGGCTCACCTTCAAGTGCGATCAAATCAATTTACATTTTTAAATGTTTTTTCCAAAATTAATCACAACTACGCTTTTTTTTTTCCCACTGCTGGTAGAGCTGATATTTACCTATATAATTTCATTAATGATTTTGTTGGTCTTTTCTATTTTTTCTTTTTCAATCAGTGGCACCAAACTTGAGCCTCCTATGTTCTCTTAACATCAAGCAACAAGAAAATTTAATTACGAAAACCAACCCATCATCACAACGAGAGATTTGACATTTTTCATAATTCTTACGAAGACATCGAACCAAACCAAAGCTGTTGGACCAAATTGACTGATCGATAGTTGTGATCGAGTGGGGTCATAGCAACGGTCGAAGCCACACAAAACGGACCAAAATTGTCTAACGATAACGACATTTTGTAACGACACTTTAAATTCAAGGACTTTACCATAAATTTCGTCGACATATATGTCAAATATACAAGGAACATCACGTGAAGTCGAAGATGTTTGACCTTATCATTTGTCGTGCTAAACAATAGGTTTGGTCTAAATTTGATTCGGGATAGTCAACTAGACCCTTATTGTTATTTTGCAATTTATTTGTATCGTTAAACATAATAGATATATTATGTCTCATTTCAATCTATGTCATAAATATTCAAATAAAACTACGCTTCTCTTTGACATAGTAAAAAGACATACGTTACATATGGTATAGAGTATGAACTTTCATACCAAAACTGGACCGATCAGCGATTTATAGTATAAAAAATAGTGAACTACCCTACTAATATGCAAAGACAACAAAATTGGACGACACTGATGAATTTTCCCTGTAAAATTCAAAAATTATATTTGAATTGAATTCTATAAATTCAGTACTGAATCGACCATATACATACATATTCCTAAAACAATCAGTGAACTAGTTGCAGAAAAAAATGGCACCTTCCTTATATATCCTACAAAAAAATTATTTAAAGATGTTAGATTATGTGGTTGGGACAAATGGACCCCACAAAATGTCGCAAAGCTTTCAGCTAACAATTAAACATCTAACTTGTAAATGTTCCGAAAGCTTCACACCCAGACAACACAACAGTCTCCACCTTCTGAGAACATTTCATTAACTCTTACCCATACCTAAGTCCAACCTTTCACATCGATGTATAATATAGTTCATGTATCAACGAAAAATAGTCAATTTTAATTGATAAAAACATTTATTATCTTGTCATCTATGATAATACCAAAACCTATTATAAGTTACATTACATACAGATCTGATCCAGCTTCTTCTCTGCTCCAATATGTTATGATCTCGAGATCTACTGATAGAATTCTTATTTTTGAGATTATAATTCATTTTTGTATGATGTTGATCGATGACTACCAAGATACAACCATTGATAGATTCTGTCAAATAGATCAACATAAACAAATGAAAAGAGTATGTCCATAATATTGATTAACAATGTTTATTAGTATTGTAGATGGACCATGTATGTGGATGGTATAGTATACCACCAAACGTTGAGAAATACTTTGTATAATATTAGATATAGTCAAAAACTTTGGAAATGGGTCGGACACAATTATAACTGGACAGAGCAAGTGGAGTGGTATAGAAGTTACTTAAGCTCGCTAGCTTGATAACCTATTATTATTATATTTTAATGTCGAAAAGACTATAAGAAAAAATGGTTAGCATAGTAATCGAATTAAAAAAATCTGTACAAATAACAACTATACGATATTACATTTTATTCTGAATTTGCTTAAAGAGGGTAAAATTGTATGATTAGTAAAAGTATGCATGCAGGACTGAAAAATCATTCCGTCATTTTGTCATCGATAATATAAATCCGTATATGCTTCCTTAGGAGTTAGGGTGTAAAAGTATAATATTTGTGTAGATATACATTTTTGACTGATAATATTATCGAAACAAATGGTGTTGGTTTGGATGCTATTTTATTTGTTCAAATGATACAACAACCATGAAACAACGAAAGTAAAATAAAGTTTCTTTCGTGGAACGGCCCTGAAGTAGATTAATTAAGTTGAATAGATTTTTTATAGTTTGTTCATTTGCGAGTGTGGATATCAAACAAGTGTAATTTACAAGTTAGTCTCTTTAAACAAAAATAAAAACTCTTTTAATACTCCATTAATTAAGCGAGTCACGTACGGTATGCAAAAGTCTATGCCGTTGACCCGTTAACATATTAGATTTGAGAAATAATTCATCGAAAGATAATTATATTTCGAATGTACGCATGAAATTTAGGGTAATACTACTAAAAACATAGC